GTACCTCTGCAATATTGAAGTCACAATAACAATAATAGTTGAAACATATTACCATACGACATTATATCATTTTCACGCATGTGAAATTTTGAAATCAGCGTGGAATTAACAACGACAGATTGTAATAGCGCGCGCGTCTTAGGAGTATTACTGTTATATTTCATTAACGCCTTGTACTCCGATGATGTAAGAGCAAATATACAATTATACGTATAAATCTACATGTAAGTCTGATTACATAGTTAAGCGAGCGAATATAAAGTACTTGCACGCGATGACAATCTGAATACGAAAATGTGTTTACAATCTGAAGCCTTCGGCTATATTTACGCTTTGGTTTGTAGGGCTCAACAAATTGAAGTTGTCGCCTGCGCTGTCGAGTAGAAAAATTGTTTGCTGCTTAAGATCGACTCTCTCGACGAATGATTTTATGATTCTGCAGAACGAGGAGAGGGGTGACTCGATCGGCTGCAGCAGCCCGGCAAATTCACGCGCACATCCTCGTATTAAAACATATTGTGCCGGAGGCGTATTTAAATAGCTAAGCAATGAATTGAACGTGAAAAGGAAAAGTAACGAATGAGGTAGAGGCATTTTCTACGTTGATCCGAACGGTTAATTTATCTTACTATTGTAATCAAAATTATAAACGAGGCAGACTAATCATAAAAACATCGAATGTCAAACGAGTCGATTGATTCGATAAAATAAGGAATGAATATAAATATATAAAAAAATAAGCTTAGCCGTTCGTAACGTTAACGATGTTAAGCGTGCAGTTTTCTTGTCTGACCAGTGACGCGTTTGCTCTACTTCTGCTGCGTACAGATGTACAGTCGCGTAGCACTGCAGTATCGTTCAGCCAAACATCGTATCGGGAGATTGCAAATGAATATTTTGTACTTATTCGTACGGCGTAAGGAACAAAAAAGGGAGAATACGTAGTAAGATTTTCACTTATACAGGCGAAATACCACGTAGATTTTGGATAAGTGTATAGCGTATTCACGACAAATGCAAAAAAGCTTTCTCCAAGTCTGAAAATCGTGCGAGTCCTATCGACGGTAGATTTTTCTTTTCGGGGGCTCGCGTGGGCGTGTGAGCGTGAGACCGAGCACAAAATTTATAGTCAAACCGTACGACACTTTCGCAATGTGCAGACGTCGCGTCACGCATCCCACGTATCCTCGGACACTTTTCGGCACAAAGATTTATATTCCAAAGCCATGTAAAGATGATCAAGCGAAATACATTGCCCAGGGCGCATATCGCATTTCTCCTCCAAATTTTGCGATTAACTTATTCCGATGATAGACGAGCTCTACCTACGTGCACAATTGAGATGGCGCTCGTTTTCGCAAGTGACGTGTTATTGAAAGGCCTAGAATTGAAAAATTGCAAACGCTTCGGAGAAGATGATATAACGATTGAAGAGTACGTAAAAATAATAGGTACACGCCCGAAGCCATCTGCAATTTAGAAAGGCGATTTCGGCCCGGCAGTTTTTCCTCTTTGAAAGTTTAATAATTACGATGCATGTAACAGGGAGCGCATAAACTAAAGTAATACCAAAGTTGTGATGCATAATTGAACTTCAATTATCAAAAAATATGATGTTTTACGTTGATTTGTTCGTGATCCTAAAAAAAGAATGTCCGTTCAAGCATTTCTTAACGATGAAATTACTATAATTATCAAATTGCCTTCGAGTCTCTGGAAGCGCGCAATCGAGTTAAATATCCCAGAGCGAATTCGAAATTTCAGCAATAACTCGCGATGCGAGTTTCGCATCCAGTCAACGAAGAAAAAACTGATACTACTTGCTCGTTGGTGTACATAAGTAAATCAGTTGTTTTGCGTTTGAAGGTACATAGCTGACTAACACCGCTGGAAATTATAGAAAAGCCGAGTAAAAAGGAGAGGTAGGGGGGCGGGGGTAGGAGATAAATCAACGGCAACAATGTAATTACAACGAGAGTGGCAGAGAGCACGAAAAAAAGGCGCGGTAGGAAAAAGCAGCAGCGAGTCTCGAGAGTGTATAAGGCAAGAGGGGGAAAAGAGAAGGCATAGAACGCCGCGGGCGAGGCGCATCTTCAAATGGCAAGGTCGTTCGTCGAGACTCTCGAGAGAAAGATTGCGTCACAGCCGAGACTTTCCTCGCTACTGGACCGCAGGGAGATGAGAGGAGGAAAGCATCCAAGGGATATGTCATAACGCGACCAAGGACGCTTCGCTTGGAAATCGTGGAATTTGTGATCTGCTTTCTGCGCGATTATCGCGATGACATGTGGGACTTCGTTGGACGCACATAAGCATGGGAAGCAGCTGCGGCCTCTTTGGGATGCCAGCTTGTAATCATCCTAATCGAAATTTTTCATTACAGAAATTTTTCACTCTCGCTGTTTTAGCTCCTGCACGCACAAACGTGCTCGTTCAGCTCTGGGTCAAAGTCGTTCGGTAATTGGTTGGAGATGCGTGGGAAATCCGGAGGACGCGCTAGTCACGTCTATTTAGAAGAAAAAAAAAAAAAAACCGATCGTTGAATGCTACAGGCAGTTACCGAAGAATTCGCTTTTGAGGATTGACTTGGCTTTGGAATTGGAAGCGATTCCCTGATAGAAGCACGCTACAAATTATTTACCGATTATTTGTTATCTCCGTCGATCATTTAACCGTGTAAAAATTATCGAGCATCCTCATGCTACCTATGATGTTCGACGAAAAGGAGAATAATTAATGCGTCTGGCTTTTTTATGATAGAAATAATCATAAAGACGCGCACGAGCACACGCGAATGAGTTAACAACGAATAATTTTAGAATTTTTCAGCCGGCGACGAGCCGACGTGTCACGAATAAAAGCTTCGGGAAAATTAGGTAATTCATTAGGTAACGGCTTTTATGGATCTTGAAATAGCTTAAAAGAAATGCGAAGATGCTCACTTCGTCGTTAGAATGCGAAAATTGTAAATGAATAATTTGCGTAAATTGTTCGGTCGCTCTAATGCGCGACTCCATTTCATTTAATTCACTTTGACTTGTAAAGCAAAATAACAATGAAAAATCGTTTTGGCACTGCGCGCGCGTTGGGCAAGAATTATAATTTGTCTGCGATATTGCCGCGCTCGCAACGACGACGTTTCACCACCTCTGCCAACCCTTTGTTTCGCGCGCATGCACCATTAATACGCTCATTTGCGCGTAATAACCATTTCGAGGAAAAATCAAACATCAAAAATGATTACACGCAAAGTCAACGTTGATCAAGTGATTGAGCTGCGTAAGTAAATGTTATGCCGAGAATGTCAATTCAAATGAATGTTTTCTTGACAAAACGATCGTTTTTCAATGCTGCAACGAAAAAAAAAATAAATAAATAAAGAAAAGAAAAATAGCTCAGATTCGATATAATGGATAAACGTTGTCACGGTGATTACGCATGCCTCGTAATCAAATTATTAATTAACGGAATAACACGGCGATCCCCTGAATAAATAATGTGTGCGTAATCATCGATGACTTTCAGGAAAGTCAAAGAAGACGTCTTTTTAAAAAACAAAGTTTAGGTAAACGCGGATCACCGAATGATTTTTAGGGAGTCGCAGGAACATATGCTACAAGATGAAACGCAATTTCCAAATTATTATGTAAATTTTACGCGGTATTTTAGGCGTCGTCCGCGCGTGCTTCACGCGCACCTCGCGTATATACTTTCTACTGAGGTATCTCATTGGAGATCGTCATCGTGTGGTTTCGTGTGATGTATGTACGCATCGAAAATGCCCCGACACATGTAAGCGTCTATCTCTTCTCCTCTCTTTCTTCGTCTCTGATTTTCGAGAGATATCCCGATACACACGTTCACGTTATACCTTTCATTCGGATGCTTTTTCTCTCTCCTCGCCGCGCGAGTCGAGAATTTCGATAAACTGTGTGATTACATTGCCGATGCGTGTATGCAGCTTGAGCATTTTATTAATGACTACTCTACTTATGAAAATAAAAAGCGGGGCTGCAAAACGAAGACCTTGTATTTTTTTTTACTTTTGCGTAATTATATTATTGCTTGAGTTGTTTTCCATACAAATCATACTGAAATTACCGAAAGAATGTTCAACGCTTTGTCAATTAACGAAAAAAGATAAGAATGAATTAGCGCGCAAATTTCCCAAGAAATAGAGCCTCATAGTCAATGTTGCCCCAACAAACATGGATCAAACACGTTATAACCAAAGTATTTTGTGCTCATCATCTTCCTCCAACACCAAGAAAACCATTATTTATTAAGGAGAAAAATTAAAAATTACCATCTCGTTATATTACGTAAAGGATTCGAGAGAGAAAGAGAAATAAAAGAACAGCTTAATGACAATGATCTATTAAGCAAAAAGACACGGACTGATCGACGTAAACTCGAAACGATCGATCAATGGCAATTAAAAATGTGTCTATTTTAAGCGAAGCGGCCATCAAGTAGCGAAAAGATTAACGGCGAACTTATTATGACGGTCTAAGCTGTCAGTGGTGAAGGAGCGATTCTTGCGTGGCTGCGAATCGTAGTAAACAAATGGCAAGGTGAGCGAGCGCGCGAGTTGATCAATCCGGAAGTGACATCTTCGGCAACAGGGGGAAAACAAGGCGATTAGAGCTTGAGTCAGACGATTAAAGGAAAAATTGTTTGACCATCGCCGGATGAAACCGGCCCGTCGTTCGCTTGCAATCTCGCGCAGCCTCGCAAGCTCCCTCCGTAAAATAAATGAAGTCATTCAATTAACGTCTGCGTCGCGCGCGCGCGTGTGGCACGCGACCTCGGCAAGGACTGTCGGTGCGCGGCATCGGCTTCTCTTGCAGAAAATGCATTGAAGCAAGGAAAGGCGTCGGAGGAGGAGGAGGAGGAGTAGGGTTGTCCTCTCTGCATGGCTCTTCTGATTAGGGCGGTGGTATCGTGGGGGGTACTGTTGCACCGTTTCGCACATCCAATATAAAAGCCGAGTGCAGCGAGGTACATCCTCGGTGTTGTGTGCATTTTCAGTAAAGCGTTTGCTCTCCGCTCTATCTCTCGCATCGATAAATCAAGCGCCAGCATGAAGACGGTGGGTTCACGTTGTTTTCTTTTTCTTTTTTTTTTTTTTTTTCATTTTTTTTCTTTTTACAAAGATTGTTTCGCAACTCGGAACGCAAATGAGTGAAAGTGGACACTTCGAATACACACACGTCGATCTATGAAACTCTTTCGTCTTGGTGCACGTGTGCTCTTCTTCCGCGGGCGCAGCTTACGTCAGTGCGGGCACCACGCGGTGCGCTTACGACATGGTTTTTCGGAGGAACGCACGCTCGTCGATGTACTCTTTGTTAGAAGGAAATGTCGAAGGACCGTGCGCCGATTGCCTCGGGTTCTTCAGCTGCGGCTTATTACACATGATTAGACGCTGCTCTACCTTAGCACTGATTTTGATTTTTGGTTGTGGAGTGTTTCGTTATCGGCTCGCTGGTTCTACGTAAGAGCCATCAGTTAGCATTGTCGCACGTTCAAACCGGCCACGATTCCTTAATCAAGTGTTAAATGTTATTTATTGGGCAGATATGGTGCGTTCGCTGGTCTGATACCTTTTGTATTAGAATACGCGTGGACGAACGGGATGAGACACCTGCGACTCCGGCCAGCTGTCTGAATGGGTCGGATTTTTTTCTGACCGATTCATCGCGTATTTTTAGCGTTATCGCTTCACCACAGGTTATAGCTTTCCTTTTCCATTCATAAATTAACTCTTGAATACCAGTCACAGTAAGAACAAGAAGTCGTTGTCGAAATCGATAGCTATTAACCTCCTGTTTTGTCATTGTTCATTGGACACGCATAACTCCAGACGCGCGAGTTCTGTCATAAAAAAAGAAGTTTACATGCAAAAATAGTTGAGACGCGTACGTATGAGCTCGTTCATCGCTAATGTAGGCATCATCCGTCCCCCGGCACTGCATTATTTACAAGCACCAAAGAAGACGACGTTGAGTAAACTATAACGTAGAGGGAGTAAAAAAGAGTTTCGCATGCGCGCGCTGATCGTTAAGAAATTATAGGGACGAGGGAGAATTCGTTCTTGTTCGAGCGATGCAGTAAAAATTCGGACTGCAATCGATATGTCCCAAGCACATACACGCTGGAATGGAGCATTACGTGGCAAGTGTAGCACAGAGAGAGAGAGAGAGAGAGAGAGAGAGAGAGAGAGAGAGACAACGGTAGGCTCTTAAAAGCATTTAGCGCGACTGCCGATCGTGACTGGTTGCGCTCGCAATCGATTGCGCGCCGCCGCCGCCGCTGCCGCGTGAAGTCGAAAACGAAGTCGAGAAGACGCGATCCTCGCTCGCTCTTTCTCCGGAGCGGGCGGAGAAGCGCGACGTTACGTAAAATTGTCAAACGTTATATAGGATGCCTATCCTATCTACCAACTAGACTCGCTACTTGGAGAAAGTTAAAGCTTCGATCCTTGAGGATGTGTGCCACGTGTACATATTGACTCTTACATATATGTACAGTTTCGTTTATTCATGAGGCCGGTTGCTCCCATTTTCTGTCTTTGTTTTATCCCGTCCAGCTCGCACTGTTTTTATGAACGATCGGCGTATTAACTTTTTTTTTCACTGTATAACATCGTCGAGTAGCTGCTTTTTGTTCGTTTTGATAAATACGCTTTTTCAACGCGACTGACGTAGACTTTTTTTATTTTCGATAAAAATAATATCACAAGTATTTCTTTGTTCGGTGAAATCAAAATTTTGAACGAAAATCAGAAATTCGGCGATGAAGGTAACGGTGTGAAGGTCGAGTTATACATGTCAGTTGTACAACTGCTAATGAGAGACAAAGAATTTTAATTTGCAAACTACTGATTGCAGACTAAACAAAGATCAGTATTACGATTACGTAATATTTATCTTAAAATAAACTTGTGTGTTACGATTCTTAACGTCTGTTGTTGAAATGTCGAGTTAAGATTTTGAATTATATTTTTATGAGTGAATAGAGTTTCAAAAATATTAGTTTTGCAGAATGGCTTATCATTACTATCGTATTGTAGTTCTTTCCCAACGTTTCACTTATAATGCACGCTATAGACTTTTCATCGTTCAGAGAACTACCCAAAATATTGAAAATATTTTGTTAAGTTATCTCAAGTATTTATTTCGATTAAAGTTGGAAGAGTGAGAAAAACTAGTGGAAATAGCGTAATAACAAAGAAAACAGTAATTAATTAGGGGCCTTTTGTCTCGAGCAGGTAATCTTATTATCTCTGTTGGTGGTCGCGTGCGTGGCGGCACCGCCGCCGCAGCAGCAGAGTCAATACGCGGGTATAACGATCACGAAGCAAGAGGAAAACAATAACATCGGAGTGGACGGCTACCATTACAGCTACGAGCAAAGCGACGGCCACAAGAAAGAAGAAACAGCTGTGATCACCAACCCTGGTACCGATGACGAAGCTCTCGAGGTCACCGGCAGTTATCAGTTCCAGACTCCCGACGGCAAGACCTTCAGGGTTGACTATAAAGCCGACAAGGACGGCTTCCATCCTACCATCACGCTCGTCTAAGCGCGTGTCGCATATTTTACTTCCAAATGCCTTCCTCTCTGTTGATTATGAGCTGCTTCCGCGTCACCTAAAAGTGCAGCCGATCGTGTCGTAAAGCCAGTGTTAATATCTACCATTTAACCATATGATAATTCTAAGCTGTCCTTGTAATAATACTCTGAGAACGTGGCGCATTTATTCATTGTCATATTCTATCGAAATTAGTACTTAGACCCGATTTCGAACTGGACATTTGTTTTTTATTCAAAAATCTGACAGGTTTTATTTCTTTAAAGTATATTTCTTCCGATGTTTGCTATCATTTGGGAATAAATCACTCAGGCAGCAATTGATAAATACAATTTTTTTTCATACAATTAAATATGAAAATAATACAATCTACTATTAAGTTCTAAAACAATATTTGTAATCACGTTCAAGATTGTAAATTTTATATTTTTAACTAATAAAAATGAATTGTAAATAATCTTATTTCTTTTATCATTTGATTTGGAAGACATTATTTTTTATCAAAGAGAAGTTTATGGGTGATTCTTGACTATTTTGATAGGCTCACAGACACGAAGCAACGGATTTTTTCAAATTTTGCACAACTGTTGTATACATTGAAGTAAATTTTTTCTTGAATTATCTTCTCGAAATATTAAATATATCAAGAATTATTAACTATTAAGGAAAAATGTTAACAAATTTTTGAAAAACTATATTTCAATAGCTAATAAAGTTGTCAAAGTTAAACTCTTTTTAAAATACGTTCAACATCTAAAGCTTTACAAATAATTATAACAATAAATAGTAATTTTTTTTCTAAAATTATTAACTTTTATTTTGAACAATTGTTAATAACTCAAAAAGTGGTTTCCTTTATTCTTGCTTCAATACATTTTTAAGGATTTTTTCTATAGAAATCAGTATATATGAAATTCAAATGTCCGATATATCGGGAGGTATGGCACCAATTAAAAAAAGACGTTTCGATGCACCTATGGTTGGGAGGCGGAAGCGCACAGTGGGATATTTAGGACTTTTTTTCTTAAAAACCTCATGAAAATGTGCAATCGATGTTGATATTTTTTATAAATACATAGTTTTACATACATAGTAGTTGTACTTTCTGACATTGACGCGTCTAAGCAATTTCGAATAAAGTATTATAAATGTTATATCTATTATCAAAGTCAATAAAACTATATTTACGGCAAACTAAATTTAAAAAAAATTTCAAACTATATTTCTTTTACATTAATGGTATTGACGTAGTAGTATTGTATATTTTTTAGATACAATCAATTATATTTGTTATCTGTCTGCTTATTAATTAATTAATCTTAATCATTTTTTTTATCGATATACCTTAAGCTAGGCGCTTTAATATCAAAAAGTACAAACAAAGTTTAGAAAAAAGATCATCAAACCATTACAGATATTATCAATCAAAGTCAATTAAAAATTACGATAAACCGATTTTATAAATAAAAGTTTTCAGATGAGATTTTAAATGATTTAATGGTACTGACACAAAAGTATTGTATACTTTTCCAGTATTCTTATTGTTATTGTGACTTCAAGAACTATGTCCACGTGGAACGCTGCAGATAATAATCCATCATATTTGTTACCTGCTTAACATTTAATTAATTTGAATTAATTTAATTATTCTCATTTCCACGAAGTCTTTTTTTTAAGATTCTTCAATCTATAGGATACGATTTCACTAATCTTTGCTCGCTTTGATTACTTGAAAAATCTATATTAACAATATGTAAGTAAAATTAATAATTTGTTGTCAATAAATTAAAATTGGCATATTAACACCACGTGTAATGTAATTGATTGATCAAATAAAACTTGTTTGATTTATTTTAATCCTATTATTATGAAGTTAACTTTTTAATTGTTAGTTGTATAGTTATTAACTATTTAATTGTTACCAGTCTTTTTTGTAGTTTTGGTTTGCCGTAATTATAGATTTATTGTCTTTGATAATGGATGTAACACTTTAATCGATATTGCTTAGATGCTTTAATATCAAAAACTATAACTATTGTCGAGTATTAAAAGAATCGTCAAAATTAATTGCAAATTGCGATTTTTAAGAAAATTTTAAGAAGAAATATCCCACTGTTATGTTAAGTACTTGAATTTTATGACCGATTTCTATAGGAAAAACCCATTTTTGAATTTTTTATAGGAAAAAAATCATTTTTGGCGAGATTTTTCAAGTTTATTCAAAATATTTGTATTATTAGCATAAATGTTACATATATAAAAACATAATGCTTCCTTACTTATAGCGGTTTATACCAATATTATTAACAGTTAGAAACACACGAAACTCAAAATTTAATAACAGCGCATAAAATACATACTACTAGTTATGTAAAAATACTGTATTAATTAATTATATAAATCTATGTAAAATGTTACAAAAATCCATTGTCTGTAATAAGAGTATTTCTATTTTACTATTTACAGTAATTAAAAATTAGCAATTCATTAAGAAAGTATTTTTGATTAAATGAAGATTAACAGTATAGTTTGCATGAACTATTTGTAGCTGGTATGTAATTTGAAAAAAAATAAAACATAGCACGCAATTTATTTAGCCTTGAGAAATAATAGTATGGAATAAAAATTCCAATAAGTAGTCGCCTATAGTCTTGCAAAGTAAACAATATTTTTATAAAATAAACAAATTTATAATTTTTTGTCTAATTATCAATTTATATGTAACAGAAAATCGTCTTGAACTTGAATTATTTTCTTATAACCGTTCATTTCAATATTTAACAGTTTAATGTTAATCTGAAGTAAGTATAATTAAAATTTTAATCGACTGTCAAGTTCTCACAAATAGCATAATCTGACTTTGTACTTTCAAGTACACAATCGTTGTTGGCAAAAATATAATTTATAAAATAATTAAACTAATCTTACTTTATATATATATATTAATTGTCAATTGTATATGATTATGTCAACGGACTACCCCATGCACGAATTAAATGCAAGGTTTTGTTCAGTTTAGCGCACCATTCTAATCTATCTTCCTTAGTGTCGGCTGATAGAAGATGCCTGAAAAAAATTATTCGATAAATTTACTTTAACAAATATGTAATATTGAAATAATAATGAAATAATGATTACATGTACCTTATCGTTGTTTCTGGACCATTTCGAACCATAACAAGACTATCAGTATCACCAGGTTGAGCTGGTCTTCTTGTTTCCAGTAAGAAGGTGTGTAGCCTGGCGCAAATATCTCGAGATACTAAATTCACGTTTGTCGTAGTAACGCCTGAAAAATCAATTGATGTAAGAATTTGCCAAAGAATTTTCAAATTCTTAATTTTAGTAGATAATTACTTTGAAGGTCAAGACTTCCTATGGGAGTCTTTTTGCGCTCGTCGTCAGGATATTTCCAATAAGATAACGTAGCTCCTTTGAGTAAGCACCATCTTCGATGCCACGCACCAAATCCAGAAATATCTTCAAACATGGTTAAGAAACCATGATGTTCTACGGCAACAGTTAACTCACACGATACGTGCATCTGTAAATGTCCTTCCAAAGGAGACAAAGGCGGGACCTAACAATAGTAAATATTAGTTAATAAAATCCGTACGGATAGACAGAAATGAATGAAATCGAGACCTTGTTGATTGTAAAGTGTTGTCTTTGTACTTCTTTCAAACTGAAGATTACGTATCCAGTGGGTGAAAAGGAAGTTGTTCGTACTGCTGATGGTCCAGCTGGACTTTGAAGATTAGGCATAGTTAATTTACTTTCCTGTTTGAACTTTTTAGGCGTTTTACCTCCGATCTAGAACCACATTGTAATGATATTAACTATTTCTTTGATTTCATTATAATTTTCTGTTGTAAAAATTATACCTTCTTATCTTTGGAAGAATGATTGCTGGTAGAATTGTGAATATGATATTTAATTTCGTGAGGAAGAATTTCTGCACGTGTCTGCAAAGAGTAAATATCAATTGTAACTCTGAAGTCACTGAATAATTCTTGAATTTTTAAAGTGGAAGGGAAGCGTAAACAAGAGTCTCCCGGTTGAACTTGAACTACTGGAGTAGCTATTACTGAGTCCCAATAACGCACCAGGCATACAAAATGAATGCATTTGTCTGAAAATAAAATAATTGAAGAAAATCGGTGTTGTTTTAATTAAATTTTAGGTGCGAAAATACAAAACTACAATACTTATACAAATTATTTACCTGAGTCCACATTGTGGATAAAGTCTTGTTTTAATGGTAAAGTAATAGCAGAAATCGTCAAAGACCCACTCTCTTGTAATTCTGGAGCTCCTGGCACAACTGGCTGTATTGTACCTTCTACTTTTAAGCGCTGAATTTCGTTCATTAGAGATAGTCTTCGTTGAGCTAAAATAATTTAAATAGAAATAAAAACATTCTATTTGAAACATCATTTGTAGAAAATAAAAACCAATTAAAATTACACACTTGCAACCAGCAACAATCTTTCTCCTTCAACCTGTTCCCGTGAACCGCTGAATTCAATAGTCGAATTGCACAAATTTAAAGCTTGACTAGCCTGACCAATGATAGCTTGTTGTTTTTGTACCTCTTCAAGCAATCGTTTGATTTTGTCTTGCACAAGAACGGATTCCCTATCATCAGATGAACTATAAGATGACACGGAATCTACATCAGGTATACGAGAAATAACTCGCGCTGGTGTTTTAGGAGTCTGAAAAATAAAAGCATAAATTCATAATGTTTTAAAGTAGTTGATGATGTGCGATAACATTTAATTAAATATAATTATATACCTGAGACTGCTGCTTTCTGTATAAACTAATACTGTGCAGTAATGGTACACAATTATCGCCTTCCACAACATACTGATCATTTGGCTTTGGTGATGCAGCTGGAGAAGTAATTTTGATAGGCGAACGATAGGATGAACTAAATAAATTTTTATGATTAAATTTCGATATTTATTAAAGCTTATTAGCAATAAATATTTATTGACTTACTTTTTAGTGTATTTGAAACTGTGAGAAGCAGCAGATGGACTTTTGCCACCTCTATTTAGTTTAGCAGGAGTAGGCCCTTCTTCTCCATTTTCTTGCAAAGCTAAACACTCGTCAAGGTACTCGTCCATTTCATCAAGAACTGAAATATCTGATGTTGTACTATCAGGATCAGGATCAATCGGTCTCTGGAAATAAAATAAAAATAAGTATAGAATGAAAAGTACCATAATATTTCTATTTTTTATTTAATCTTTGAACATACCCTTTTACTAGCTGAATTTTGTTGACTAACAACTTGTAAAATACTACGTCCAAGACTAGTATTTCCAATATCATCATCATCAACATCATCAACATCATCATCATCATCATCATCATCATCATCATAGTCACTACTGTGATTACCATCATACTGATTCTATAAAGAAAAGTCGTAGAATAAAATACTGTGTATAATTACACGATTTTAAATCGAAAAGTAAACATTTTCATTACCTCTAAATAATAGTCTGCTTCTGTTTCAGTTTGAGTATCGGTACGTTCATCCAGTGTAGCTGTAGTTGCCTCAGTACTGTCAGTAGTAATTTCAGTCTCAGTGTCTTCAGAGCTTGATTCAATTCGAGTAAGATCTGGGTAAAGGTGACCTGATTTAGCAGGTGATATTTTTACACGTTTTACATCAGTTAGTTTTTTCAAATGACCGCATGTTTTCAGAGGGCTGTTAGCCACTAATAACAAATATATTGATTAATAAAACTTGATATATTTATAGCTTTAATTAGTTTTCAGAACATTAATTAAATAAAAATCATACGATTCCCGAAAGAAAAAATCAATTGAAATTTATTACCTTGTTTTTTTGATGGTGAATTTTTAGGTCCTGACAATAAGTTCTTTTGTTTACAATTCTGTGCACTTGGTAAAGGTGGTGGTGGTGGAGGTGCTTGATCCTGTATGCCGAATAAAAATAGTTGGTAACATTATTCACACATGTAATCAATTATTGAAGCAATTAGTTTTATACTTACAGCCGGAGTAGGTTTTACAGGACAAATAGGTGAATTCTTTGGTGAGATGGGTTTGCCTTCGCTGCTCTCACTAGTACGAAAACTTGAGCTAACAGATGTTGCCGCATTATCACGTTGACGATTAAATCGAGAACGTAGCATTTCCAACTCACGCTGTCTTTCAGTTTTTACATTCTGTAAAATGTTATTTTCGAGCTCTTGGGTACGAATACCTTGCTCGAAAATTGATCGCTGGGCTTCAACAGCCTTGCCAGTATCCGCTTTTAATTTTGAAGGTGATTCTAAAAAGTGACAAATTTTACTTCAATTGGTTTTAACACATTTTTCATTAGATTTAAGTAACCTTTCTTGTAAAGTGAATTTTGAATAACATTTATCCACAAACCTCCACTATGACTAAGCATCGACTTATCCTTTTCTTGTAACATCTTGGTGGGCACAGACATAGTGAGCGGAGCTTTCGGGATCAGAGCTTCACCCTTGTTTCTCTCAAAGAGAGCCATTCTCTCAGACAGGGTCATTTCAGCGGGGTCCTTTGTTTTCGTAGCTGAACCCTTGGACTCAAACATCGAAGCCTTACTGAGAACTGAACCTGGCGACTGTATGATCGAAGTTTTAGGGGAGGAACCATTATGACCGAATCTCGAATTCAATCGTGGATTACTAACAGCAGGCGAGCCAGCCGTACTACCGGTAGATTTTATTGACTTTTCCGGAGTTTTCGCAGTTGTCGTTTTCGCTGGACTCGTTTCTTTCTTTTCAGCGATTATTCGAAGAGCACTAGTTGAGGCCGTTTTAGTTAACGATTTAGTCGGTGATTTTCCCTGGTTGTTGCTTCCATTTGACCCCTGAGAACAAGCCTGATAGTCATACACAAGGCGAGAGTTGCTTTTAGTACGACTAAAACCCTGTGCCTCCTGGAAAATATTTTGTATGTGATATGACAATGACCAAGTTTTTGTATACTCAATTGCCAAAATCCATTTATTCTTATATACCCTGTTAATGAGGAGGTCTACGGGTTTTGGAGTTATATTAAAAACTCAAGGCAGAGATCATTCTTACCAAGTTTTCTAAAACTGATTTATCCCATTTCATGGGTCTTAAGGAACTATTACTTTTGTTGGTATTGTTTTTATGCAAATCACCTATACTTGGTTGAAGCTCTGAACCACTTTTTACTTGTTCATTGAGCTTTGCTTGAACTCTTTCTGCTTTACTAACAGTTGTTTTTACCTATAATTCAACATATTTAAAATGTTGAACTAGGAAAATTTTTATTTTACAATATTGAAACTTACAATTGTAGGGTGGGATAGGTCGTCTTCTCTGTTGTTTATTTCATTAGCCAGAGCAGCTAATCTATTTAATCTAGCAGAAGGTTTTGCAGATTTTGGATCCACTTTCAGATCTTCAACAGCAAACTTTTCTTCTGTCCTATGGATAGGAGAACTTAAAAGTTCTCTACTTTCATCTGAACAAAAAAATCAAACAAATTAAGTATTTTATTATTTACATGTTTATCATACAAGCTATATAAGCTATAACTATATTTCACAATAAATCGAAAAATTTTTGATAGAATATTTCACAGCTTTACAGTATAGAATATTTGTAACAAATTTTTTAATAAACATAAATAGGTTTATTTATAAAAATATTAAATAATTTTACAGAAAATAGAAAAAAATAATTTAAAAGGACTTGTACATAATAAATTCAATTTGAATTTAAGAAAGAAATGAAAGTATAAGCAAAAGGCTAAAAGAAGGAGTGACTTTTACTTTCATTTTTTCTTCCAAGGTAAAGCAAACTCTTTACTTTTAAGCAACCAAAACTAGTTTTGATTGTGTGTAGAGGTGTCTGTAATAAAAAAGAGTACAACATTAGATAACTTCTTACCAGAATATAATTTGCCTAGTCTTTGTAACTTGGACTTGACACTTGATGCTGGTGCTTGTCCATTCTCTTTATTAGTCTGTAAATCATTCTTTATTGGACTTTTAAGTGGAGAAGTTTTTCTTGTAGTTTTTGCTGGAGATCCAGTTGGGGAAGTAGAAGAGTAGCTTGTTTTCATAGGTGATTTTTTAGCAATAGCTTCTGTAATGACTGTTAAAACAAACATTTGAATAATGTGCAATTCAATAATGAAAAGTGTAGGATAATGTGATAAACAAAAGGATGATATGATCAAATTTTATAAAATCACTAATTGATATCTAAATAAAATTATTGAATAATAAGAAATAGAAAATATTTTTTCGTTTTCTACATAAAAATGATTGGATAAGAACAGTACCTGGTGCTTGAGTTAAAAGAGCATTAGCATCTTTGAGAGGACTACGTCTTCTTATAACATCATGACCAGCATTAGACAGTTGGGTGTCCAGTTTTTCTCTCCTAGCCTTTGCACGTTCTAACATACGCTAAAATAAAAAGGAATGACGTTCATCAGTGAAAACAGCATAGATATTTCTTGTATAATAATTGAGAAATTTGTTTGATATTTACTATCTTACATAGATAGAATATTCTAAAACTGATATAATCCATAATTGCAAATTATTAAATATACAATGCAAACTCATACTATTTAATTACTTATATCAAGCATGTCATTTCATTTCTATTAACTGAAATTTGAATAACTATTGTATGTATAATCTTATTAATGAATCACTCTGATCCCAGGAAGTAAAAATCAAAAGGTTTGAAAAGAGCAGATAAGATAATGTAGTGGAAGAAGTTATGATATTTAATAAACAGTATATGATATTTGAATTTTTTTTTATTTTGGCATTTATGTGCACCTCTTTGATAAACAATAAAAAAAATTTATCTTTGTATTGCAATAAATTTTTACGTAATTGATAGATGTATACTTTTACAATAATTTTGAATACTACATTATAGATAATCCTCATAAGCTTAAAACGTTTTAAAATGAAAAATGCGAAAAACGAGATGCATTCAAAAAATATAAAGGACGACTACATAGGGAGCAAAACAATAAGCATAACTACAACTCATGCTGAGCGGGAATGATGGGGAAAGTAAGCGTTGCATGAGGCATACAGAAAAATACGCACAAGAACTCTTGGTCCAAGGCTAGCAGAATATCTTAATCTGATTTGGAGCTAGTAAACAAGTCCTCGTCATTTTCGAGTATACTATCTCCGCAGGAACGTAAAAACCGTAAATCAGCCAAACTAGCCGACCAGCGTAATAAAACAATCGAGCTTACCTGCGTGAAGGGGTCCATTGTTTCTCGTTTGGCGTATACTTTCTGGACAATAACTTTCTCTACCTCGACTGCGATAATCAGATCCTTGCAATTTTTTACTCGTGTTTCTTATAAAACACGCTCACCCAGCACTTAATATGAGATATGCAGCTGCTCTTCCGCGAATCTTCGCCGTTGACGTATGTCTCTTCGTATTTCGGCCGTTGCGTTTAAAAAGCAAGCGCTCGCGTTGATGCAAAAATATTCACTGATCCTTATTTTTTTACTTCGTTTCGCTTCCGTATCAGCACACTTTGCATAGTTTTCACACTGTTTCACAAACTACTCGTATGTTTTCTATGCTGTATTTTTAACGAAGTTGTTTTTTAGCGAAATAAACAGTGGATATAGAATGAAACTTCAAAAATAGTCGTAGCGTCGTACGTACGTACCGCCAATGACTAGTTCAACTGCGAACGGTCGTCGGCAGGGTTGCGGCGTGCTGTGTTGCCACTCCCCATTTTTGTGCCAGATCGAATTTTTTTTCTAGCGCAAATTTTTAATTTTAAGTTTTATAATTATTAAAAGTAAACAATCTTGAATTATTGAATAGTTTTGAAATTTAATTATGCTTATTTTAAAAATGTTTAACTGTTGAAATGATTTTTAATTATAAGCGTGTATAAAGATAGATGTAATAAAAGTCTTGAATAGTAAATTATTCACCATACAAAAAAATATTTCTTAACGTTTATTTATTTTAACAATTTTACAGTGTTTTGAAAATTGAAAAAAGTTAAAAAAAGTCAGACATCTGGCAACGTTGCTACTGAGTTAACCGCAGGAAGCAGAAGTGTCATAGTGACAAAATATTCAAAATAAAGCCTCGTGATTGGTTGTTATCGTTTCTACAGGTTTTTTTAAAATTAACTGTCAAATGTTAAACAAAACGCCTTAGTCTTAAGTCTATCAATAAAATATTATTTAAATTAATTCTAGAAATCAGCTATTTTAGCCAATCACGCATAAAAACATAAATAAATTTAAATACTAAAATGCACGAAACGTGTGATATATCAGCTTATATTTAAATTGGTTTCAAGAAATTGTAATAACATTTATTTAGTTTCTATTGATAAAATATAACGATTTTGAATAACAACTTATATTTTGCAAAAATGTACTCTAAGTTGTATAATTACTATAATAATAAACTTAATAGATAGGTTATGTGATATGCGTGGATGATGGATGTGGACATGACCGATCTGCTCTGCTATATTATAAAATTGCTACAATAATCAGCAGTACTGGATAGACTCTGGTGCTGTATCGCCTGCGGGCGTGATCTAAGAAAAAATAGCTAATGCTGACGATAATTAGAATATATGGGACGTAGACATTGACCGTAAACACACGCAGTTTGAAGTTAGTGCCTTATTTTCTACAAATACTATTCAGTGTATTTAGTTATCGGTATCATCAAACAGTGGACTGAAATACTTTATATTACAATCATATAAAAAATTATTGTCAAGTGGACAATTTTTACGTTTTACGTATTATGAATTTATTGATCTAACCTTTACATATGTGCAATGGAATTAGCTACACTACTTAGAAACTGCGTTGTTTCTACAAAACGTAAAAATTTTTAATAATTTATCGATTCTTAATTTCCAACAAACATTTATCAACTAATTAACAATTTATATTTGATTTGCAGTTACAAATACAGACATGAAAAGTACAGAAGAAAAAGAAAAACAAGAAGACGAATACTTCCAAAAAGTGTATGCTGAGTGGAAAGGTATAGATGCCAAAGATACAGATGATACATACAAAGTTATTCCTAAATTTTACTTTAAGGTATTTCCTACAATTAATTTTCAAATGTAATTTTGTACGAGTGTTTATTTAATAATTGAATATCATTCAGATTCCAAAAGAAGATGAAATACTGCTACAAAAACTCAGAGAAGAAACTAGAGCTTTATTTTTACAAAGACGATCTCGACAATTAATAGATAATAATGAACTGAAAACTTTATGGGCTTTGTTAGATGAATATTATACTCCACCACTATCGGGTAAAGAACAATTAATCAATTATGAAGATTTCAAAAAAGTATCCAAATTTGTTGGATCAAAAGGAAAACAATATTTCTCTGCTGTTGTATTTGCTAAATTACAACAAGGAGACCCACATGGAAGAATAAATATCATAACTCTTTTTAATTACGTTATGAGAAAAGTTTGGTTGCATCAAACTCGCATTGGTCTTTCGTTATATGATGTTACTGGACAAGGATACTTAAGGGAATCGGTATGCAAGAAATAAAATTGAACGAATAATCATAATTGAAAAATTGAAACTTATAATAAACTCATGATATTACAGGACTTAGAAAATTATATTTTTGAGTTAATTCCAACTCTACCACAACTTGAAGGATTAGAGAAATCTTTTCATTCATTTTATGTTTGTACAGCAGTTAGAAAGTTTCTTTTTTTTTTAGACCCTCTCAGGACAGGTAGAGTAAGAATACAAGATATTTTAGCATGTAGTTTTCTAGATGATTTATTAGAATTACGAGACGACGACCTTCCAAAAGATTTGCAAGAAGCTAATTGGTTTTCTGCTCCATCTGCACTAAAAGTATATGGACAATATCTAAATCTTGATAAGGATCATAATGGGATGCTTAATAAGGAAGAATTATCTGGGCAAGTTTCAAAGTAGTATGAGTAAATTAACTTTGAAAAGTATTGTAATTTTTTTATTATTATCAATTAATAGTTATGGAACTGGAACATTGACTGGAGTCTTCCTTGAAAGAGTTTTTCAAGAATGTTTAACATATGATGGAGAAATGGACTATAAAACATATCTTGACTTTGTTCTTGCTTTAGAAAATCGTCATGAACCTCAAAGTTTACATTACTTATTTAGAGTTCTGGATATTAACGATCAAGGATATTTAGATACATTTTGTCTTAATTATTTTTTTAAGGTAAAATAATTTATTGGCTCTAATAATACTAAAATTAAATTTTTTTTTATTGATTTGAATCTATGTTAACATCTTGCAGGCAATCCAAGAACAAATGACTATACATGGGCAAGAGCTAGTTAGTTTTGAAGATGTGAAAGATGAAATTTTTGATATGGTAAAACCAGCTGATCCTTATAAAATTACGTTGCAAGATCTTTTGTCTTGGTAAATACATACTTTTATTAAAATAAATTTTGAAATTACATTCTATGTTAAAATGTTATCTATTTTATAGTGGACAAGGCGATACTATGGTTAGTATTCTGATTGAATTTCATGGTTTTTGGGCATACGAAAATCGCGAGGTAATGGTAGCAGATAATGGAGATGAATCATCTCATGTATAAAAACTGTGATTTTTATAGAAACTAAAAATATTTATCATATTTTATAACTGTGACTGAAAATTTTATTTGTTTATTGCAAAGGCTAATATAATGTATTTTTCATTGATAAAATGAATTAAAGGAAACAAAAAAGTTTCATTATATATTTGATGTCTTTATTTCTCCTTGACACGCGTGTGATAGCATCGTTGCTTGGCCGTGAAATTTGTTTACAAATGGTGGGCACATAGATACGTTTAATAATAATGTAGCTTACAGCGATCTGTATGTTAATAATTATGTCTGAAAAATTAGAAAATATATTATCGCCTTGGGAAATCGAATCATTTATAGAACATTTACAAACTACAAATTTAGAGGATGTTGGTACGAGCGGGTATGTCAAAAATATTTCTTTCCATTTTTACACCAATCAATAATGATATCATGTATTATTTGTAGATGGTTTGAGTATCATAAAAAATTAATGCTCTTGAATCAACAAAGTGTTTTTGAAATAAATACTTTGAGAGAAGAGAGTGTCAAAGAGTGGTTTGTTAGTTTTAAAAAGGTGCGTAATTCAAAATTACCGTTTCCTTTAATTTTATTTTACCAAGTCGTCACAATAATTAAAATCTTTTCAAGATACCCGTTTTAATTTATGAAGCAATTCAAATAATGATATGGAAGCAAAAGGTTTATCCTATATTAATGGAGTTAGATGAAAAACCTGCCAATACTTTCATTTTATTTAGTGTATTTTATCATGAGGAACTAGCTATTTCAATACTTGAAAATATTTTATACCATTCTGATAGTGTTGAAACAATGGATGATTCAATTGTTGATTTAATTGATTATGCTGCACATTACATTACATTACTCTTATATTCAAAAAACGAAAAACCATGCATAGACAAGAAGTAAGTTTCAAGATTTATTTTACTAGAAACATTAGTAAAATTCTCTTAATTATGTAAAAAATGATCTTTTAGAACATGTTTGGAAGAAATGGCAGAAAAAAGAATTGAAATAGATTTTGACATAGGGATGAGATCTATATCAATTTTACGCTATTTAGCCGAATTTGCGGATCAATTACCTTTGTGCGCTCTTTCACGTATGTTGGCAGCAAATGATATTCCGTATTTACTTGCACAACTGATTGAGTATCAGCCATGGAAAAAAATAAATAAGAAAGGTTGTTCATAACTAGGTATAATTAGGGAGTAATTTTTTTCATTACTCTGAAAATTTTTCAGGAGAAATCATGATTTATAATGGTAAATGGCACAAGCTTGATGATAAGGACATTGATAAACTTTGCAAATTTGAAGGTCAAGTATGGTTTGGGCTAAGAGAACTTTTACTCAATCCAAAATGTGCACCATATTACGATATCACTGAATTTCGAATGTCTCAGTTGACTAAGGTATATATATTTGTTAAAAAAAATATTTTACAAATAAAAATTTACTAAGTTATTTAAAAATTATTTCAGTTGCAAAAATACATGCAAGAGCATGTACTTGATCAAATAGCTCCACTAATTGATCTTCGAAGATGGCTAAGTTACTTAAATATGTCTTCTCAGACTACGAATTCACAACGACCAATCAGTGTAGAAGTTATTCCGGAGGTAACTAATGCTTTATATAAATTAACCAGATTGAAATTAAATATGAGTTTCATAGCATTATCAATTTTCAGATAAGTTCATCAATAAAAGAAAAATATAGTAAAAGATGGAAAAGATTAGCAGAACACCAAGCTAAAACATTGTTTTCAAAAGATATTGAAAAAGTAAAAAACATGGCCCAAATTTTGAGTGAGGCATATGATTTTGATAAACTGGATATAATTGATGCTAAAACATGTGCAAAGTGCAAAGAAATAGCGAAAAATAGATGTTCTAAATGTAAAGAAGTTTGGTACTGTAGCAGGTAATGTTTATACTAAAAACTATAATCTAGTTATTCGTGTTATTAACTTTTATAATATAATATTGTTTTAGAGAATGTCAAGTCAAAGATTGGTCAAATCACAAAATTATCTGTGAAAAAATATTAAAATCTAAACAGGAAGAGAATCAAAACATTGAATAAGATTAAAATTGTAGTCCTTTAATTTGTATGATTAAATTTTTACTTTAAAATAAGTACTCTGATTTTTTTCAATAAATTTTATTAAAAGATACCTAATGTACAGTGTTTTGTTTCAAGTATTCCATAAGAACATCTTTGGCAGGAGTTTCCTCTCCAAAGTCCTAAAACAAAATAATTTATTTGGTTGATAAAATAATCCTTAAAATTTATAAGCATAACACAATAGTTATTAGATATTTATTAGAATCAGAAAGGCTTTAATCAGCAAAACTTTGTATTTTTGGGTTCTACTCAGTAGAGGGAGCCTAATTATCATCATATCAATGTAACATATTTTATATAACAACATATAATATTGTAAGGATTTGAATTATAAAAAAATTTTCAATATTAGAATTAAAAAAAAATATAATAAAAGTTATTACAGTTTAAAAAAACGTCCATTTGTATTCCATAACATGATTGCATTACAAATGAAGTTGGTTTACCTTAATCACTACACAGGAACAGCCAACAACTTTCCTAGCTTTTCCAGCATTATCAATTTTGCAAAGTCCTGCCCATTCACCTAACTTTTTGTTGTTGTCAACTTTTATCAGAGGAATTTGATGCTCGTTGCACAGTGCTTGAACAAGCTTTTTGTACATAGGTTCGTCACAATTCTCTGCCAAGATACACAACATGGCTTGTCTCCTATAAAATTAATTAGAAATTAGATTTCATTGAAAATATCTAATTTGATGGTAGTTAATATAATTTTAAGATTATCAGAAAGGCATAACTCCGCAAGATTCAAAAAATTGGGTTCAACTCAGTAGAGGGAGCCTAATTATCATCCTTTAATAATCATAATATTGCAAAAAAAATAAAAATGATGAAATTTTATAGCTTATCAAAAATTTTTCCTACCACTTTCTTATACAACTGATGCAAGATTGTAAATAAAACCTTACTTGTCAAGAGCCTTAGCCGCTTCATGGAGACCATGTACAACACCATCATGAATCATGGCATTTTTCAAAACCTCCTGGAGGGCTGTGTTAACATCCATCTGTCCTGCAATCGCCGCAGAGGGAACATCGTCGCTGAAAAATATTTATAAAATTGAACTTCTCGCATCATAATTCGAAATTATAGGTTAGAACTTTGTTTGGATTATTTAAAGTTTTTAATGAAACTACAAGTCAAAATAAAAAGAATTTGTTACAGATGTATAAAATTATGAAATTTTAACGTGCCAATTTTAATTAAATAAAAATAATGGTCTATTTGAAATAGTATCTGAAGTAAACATATTTGTTGTCATCTACTTACGTTTCCACGTCAGACATTTTTGCCAGGAGGTTTTTTGGCTGAAAATAAATAAATAAAATTAATCGATAAAGACTTGTTACTTCATTCTTAAACTTTTTGTTTCTTTTATTATTGAGATGTCATTGTAATTTTTTGATTTTTTAAGAAAGCACAGGCGGCATGGATCATTTACCTTTTCTTAACCAGGAAAGAGAAATGGCAGCATTGGCAGCGGCCGTCTCATCTCGTGCTCGTGCCGCTACCATATCGTTATAGTATACAAGGAAATCACATACTAAGCCATCTATAGGTAAAGAATGATAGTTTTTTATAATATGGAGTATGGATAAGAGAGAAAACTTCTCTAACACACAAACTTACATTATGTTACTATTTATATTATTAATATATACTTTTATATTATAAATAGAAATTTGGGTGCTATGCTCATATGTTTTCTATGTATAATAATAAAAGTGAAAAATATCTATATCTTGTAAGATTGCAATTATTTATTTATTTATTTTTTAGTGAAATAAGTATAGAATCACTCGTAAAAAACTAATAATACAAAATGAATTTAATTTATCAGATAAAACCTAACTAAAGCAAAAATAAAAAAAAATAGTGCAATTGAATATCATTTTGAAATTTAAATAATTTTAACACGTGGCCTTACCGTACCGGACTAGGATATGTCTAGATGTAAGGTCTGACCTGCCAACAGCTTAACTTAGTTTTGCCTTAACTGACGGACTGTATTACTCATGAGCTGTATGAGTAATTAATTAACTATAAAATTATTGCTCGAAGATCAACACGAAGATTTGAATTTATATGACCACATTTCTATATAGAAAAATGCGATTTACAAATTTTTAAAAACTCCGGCCCTTTAAAGGTAATTATATTTATAATAAAGAAAAATGGTATCACAATGTTAAGTCGAGTTTAAATATTGGAAATTGAAGTTTTGTTGTTTCAAAATTTTGAAAGTAAATTTACTGGAATCCATCAACACGACTTGTCCCCTGTTGTATGAAAATTGTATCTGCTTACTTTTATTACAATTTCAAAAAATTTCGCTAGTCATTATTTAGAACTCATCAAAATTCGTTAAGATTTGTGAAATGCTTCTGTATATGCAATAACAGACTAATTAGATTTCCTGAGAAAATAGAAAAAGTGATCGGGTATTCTCGCGTATTCTATATTTTCTGTATCAATGTTAAAGAGTAATTAAAAAATTGATAGAATGTTTGATCAAATATTATTCCATAGTATTACTTAACATTTCTAAAATCTTAGCATTATAAATTTTAATAGTATATAGAAGTTTTTTGAATTCATTAGAGACTTTCTACATGAGCCATCGAACATCGGATATTGGACTAATACTAAGATCAAAAAAACAAATTAACTGTTTGTCATTATCTTACCAAAGATTTGTGCATGATCTGAAAAGACCATGTGCAACATTTATTTTTATTTTACGAATTTACATCAAATATTTAATTCATTTTTACAACTTCATGCACGTCTGGCGTCCGATGTCCGATATTGCTTTTATGTAAAAAGTTCCTTATAAGCAAATTTCATGAAATGATTTTTATGGGTGTGGTCTCATTTTGTTTAAATCAATAGTTAAAAAAAATTTTGTTCTATACAATGTTCTATATCTTGCTGTGGAAGTGTTGGAAACGTTTATTTCGTAGTAACAGGGGTCTTCATATTGAAATGCATGGGTCCGGTTGAAAAGAGCGATACAACTATTTCGAGAACATTTATCGGGATGAAGTGCAATTCAGCGGGAAATAGACGAAAATCAACCCGGAAAAATTATGAAAAAAACTGCGCGTTATTATAACAAGCATAGCAACACTCATTAATAATTCTTTGCAATTTAGTTGTGGTTAATATGTTGCACTTATAATATAAAATATATTTTTTATATTATAAGTGCAATAAAATCAGATGTTATTTATTAAATTTCAAGATTTATTTATTTCTACGCACACTTTTATATATTCCATTATTCACTCAAACTTCTTTTAGTTAATGTTTACGTAGTTACATAATTATTTCAGCTTTGTATCGACAAATTTATTCTTTTCAGATGTTTAGATGTAATATCGAATTGACGGCGATGCATTACGAAATTCAATTGTTCTGAATTGAACTTATCAGGATTTTTGAACCTTTAAAATGAACAAATTTGAAAGAGAATAATTTCTACGTGATTACTATTTACATAATAAAGCTATTATATTGAACTGTTATGAACATTTCTTTGTACAAATATTATCACTACACATGTTATTTTCTTTACTGCAGAAGTTCGGTGTAATCAAAATATTATCTGATGTTATTTGTCCTAAATTAAAAAATAGATCCAATTATAAAAACAAACTAATTGAAGCTTTTAGAACCAATTATATTTGTCTACTAACTAATTCTGTCTTCCAAACCGCGGCAGACTCAAACATTGTTATAATTTGATTCAGTAATCTTTAAAGCGCGATTTAACTTGATTTTAGTGGTCTCAAAACGCAAACAAATTTCTTTTTCCGTTACAAGAAACGTCAAATATTGAAATCAATTCAATTTTGATCGTCGTTTTAACTAATATATTCTGTCAAATAATAGTTAAATTAATATTCAGTTTCATTCGTTTTTATCAATCAAAATTACATGTCGACTGAATTGTTGAGAACTATGTCTTTAAAACACATTATGTTACTAGCGAATTTTTTATATTCAATTTTGCCATTAGAATCAACTATAAGGAAAATACTTGTCATTTGAAATATATATGTTAATTCATCATAATACATTTATATTTTTATATCGAATTTCGGTGCATTATACGTAAGAATGTACGATTTGATTTGAATGGTCTATTTTATCAAATTTAATTATACTGCGTTTGAAAATATAAGGTCGTATGTCTGAACAGAATTTTTTTAAATAATGCTAGATTTACGAAGTTAAAATATATTCAAATAACAACCCACATTGACAGTAATCGCTGAAATAAAGGTAAAACTTATTTATACGAGATATAAAGACACATACACAAAATATAGTCATTTTTTTGTATTTCTTACGGCAATACAAGATTGTGAAGAATTATTGTTAATCTGAAATTGACTTTACAGCTCATCGTTTTTGCCAAAAACACGAGTCATTAACATTTATTTTACATTTTCGCTGTGTACAGATTTATTTACACGTGAATATTTTTTTATTTTTGAATGAAACTGAGCATCTATGATGACTTAGCATTATTGATTCAATGTTTTATCTGATAAAACATACATTTTTTTAAATAGTAAAACGTGCTTAGATCAGCCATAGATCACACGTAGAAAATAGAAATAAAAATTAATATGAAATATATTTACATCTAAATTTCTGTGAAATCATAATTGTTCTTCTTTATTTTCACTAAATTTTAAACTATATAAGCTACATCAACGTTTAAAGAATGCTCTAGTGCAACGTACTGAGCTTCATTCGTCAAATTAAACGTGATTTCTTATAGAGTATTATCGAGATACTAGTAATTCTATAGGGTTGATCGAGGTGAGTATGGATGACAACTAAGATTGATTTTAAAAAACTGTAAATTTTAATATTATATGGAATTTCAAAAAAAAATATTACATAGATAAAATTATTTCTTGTTATAAATAGAGCTGCATGAGTAATCAATTAACTATAAAATTATTGCTCAAAGATCAACACGAAGATTTGAATTTAAATTAGAATATAATTTAAACTAGAAATCTACAATTTTTTCTAAGAAAATCAGTTTTAGTAAATTAAAAAAATCCCTCTTTTTATTACTGTAACAATAGTGGAAAATATACTATTATAGTAAACTTAATAATTTTATTAGAAAGGTTTTAAAGAACGAAAAACTCAAAACCGTTTTAAAAAAATTTCTTTTTTAGAGACTTGCTCAGCGAAGTACATATATCCGAATTCACCTCGATCAACCCAATATTATTCAACATAATAGACTTATTAACATTAGACTTAATAACATTTCTAAACGAACCAAACTCTTCTTCATATCAAACTGTATGCATATGAAAAAAATGTTCAAAGCTCAAACATGTTGTCTTAAACATATTTCATTTATGTTAACCATTAAAGTACTTTTAAATTTTATATAAGATAAATTTTATGAAGAAGAATGACACTCGAAGCGGATAAAATTCTACAAAGTTTGTACTTTTTTTGCCGACTTCAAACAGAATATTCGACATGCTTGTTTTATATATGTTCGGACATATTTCCGGTACGACTTGATCAGTTGAAAGGGAGGTGGTCTTATTTGAAAATGTTTCGGAGATAATTCTGTTTCATTATTAATTTGATCGAAGCACAAATTTTCGGATTATTGTAAACAATTTTTAAATTGTCTTTTTTTGATGAAAAATTAATCTTGAAATAAGTTGAAAATAACTGACTTGAGAGTATACAATTTTGACTGCACAAATTGAAAAAATATTTAAAAAATATTCATTTTATACCTTAATTGTAGAAAAAGAAATTCGATGCATAATTTTTCCAGGAGTTCATAGTTTTTAGTACTTTTGGATCATTGGACAGACGTTGAATGTACCGCGTTTTTAAGAAAAAAAATCTTGGTAAAAATTAGGAACAAATAAACGAGCCGTGACATGATATCGATGGTTGGGCTTGGAACATAATTTTCATAACATGCGTTGATAGAGGACAACTAAAATATTCAACCAAAGTAAAAAATAAGCAAGTAAAGTTGGAGAGTATGGAGGAGCTAATGGCGGCCGACATTACGTCGGCGGTGAATATCGGTAGGGCCAGCAGTAATTCGTAGGCGGAGGCGGCGGTGGTGCCTGCTGCTGATGCGTGGTCGTCGCCGCGGGCCCGTAAACATGATGCGCTGGATGATGGGGCGTGTAGCTAGTAATCGGGCCGGGCCTGCCGGCTGGGCTCCCGTCGAGGCCGACTCCAGCCTGCGCCTGGCAGGCCATCATCAACCCGTGGAAGTCGAACTTGTAGGCGTAGCGCTTGCCGTGCACTTTCGTCATTATGTTCTTGTCGTAGTAGTACCTGTCGAACATCGCGTACAAATTTCGCGCTTCAAATTTTTATACTCATCTTTCTTAATTGCTACTTGTAGCCACGCTTACTATATAGACAGCGGTCAATTAATTTTTATTGAAGTGAGCGCGAAAGCTACACAATGACTGTGTTCGATGAAATATAAAACACCGAAACCGAAAGTTGTAAGGAATTAATGATTTTACGTCATAGCATTCGTTTCGTATTAAAATTGAAAGTATACTTTACTCTAAACCTTGCAATCATTTTATATATAGTTTCGAAAATCATACATTGTATATCAAGCCGTTGCGTTTGAAAATATTAGAGTGATGTAATTCTCAAAAATAATAAAGCGTTATTCGTGTTACTCTCCTCACTAATCAATTTTTTTCAAAACTTTCATTTAATTTTTCCAATCGGATCTTATGAAATTCTCAACAGAATTGTAAGTCAATAATAATAATAAGCACAATAATAGACGTGACGTATGTAGCCTTCGAAGCTCGGTAATTGAATGTTGATTTTTCCCGACGTTATTAAATAGTGGAATTCGGCCACAAGTGTTCCGCTGATGCGTATTATGAGAAGATTTAAAATATTTACTGCATTTACGATTAGCATGGCCGTAGAAGAGCGTAGAACGACAGGTGAATTGAAATGAGCTTCGATCACGAAAGCAGCGCGTCGTTCGCTGGACTGAGACTCGTGAGGCGAGTCGCGGAGAAGTTGGCAGTGGCGTATTTACCTGAGTGCCCTTGAGAGCTTGTCGTAGTTCATGTTAGGCTTGCTCTTGCGCTCGCCCCATCGCCTGGCGACCTCGTCCGGGTCGGTGAGCTTGAACTCGCCGTTGGAGCCCTCCCACGCGATGCACGAGGCGTTGGACGAATCGGCGAGCAGCTCCAGGAGGAACTGCCAGAGCTGGACCTGGCCGCCTCCGACCCCGGCCGGAGCGGCGCCCGCCCCCGACTGTGACGCCCCGCCAATCAGCGAGCACGTGCGCTGCAGGAGGCCGAACCTCTCTACAATCAGCCAAAGAGGGGGGTATCTCAGCACTCTCGCTCTTTCACCTCTTCTCCTCTCGCTTTTAGGCGATCTTATCGGCTCGCGCTTTCTAACTGCCAGTCAGCTGCCATTGATTTTATTCTTGACAAATGCCTTGCTTTTAATTTTTATATTGCTTACGTAAACCTCCTGTTGCTCGCCAGATTTCCTCCAACACGCTCGTTATACGCTCTTGCGGTCGACACTTTTTTTCAGTTTTTCTTGTGAAGGAGTCAGCATTTTTCAGTGTCTTTCAATTTACTCATTCGTTTAATCAGACATCACTGCCATGCCTGAATAATGACTGTGGAACGCCTCACGCTGCTTCTTTTTAGACATTTGCAAATGCTTTCATCTCACACTCTTGTTAACAGCTGTGGATGTACGTACAAAAAGGTTTTACAATTGTTTTTGGACAATTTTTTTGTACAGACTGAAGTACAGCGATAAGTTATCAGTTATGTATACGTCCAATGATTATTAGTGAAAAATTCTCCGTATATTAATTTTTAAATCTTTTTGGATTTAGAGTTTAGATTTGCTGGAAACATTTCATTTTTTATCAATTAATTACAAGTACTAAACATTTTCAATTTTAATAATGTTAAGTATCAAATGTACAATTGTCTCAACAATCTCAACCTTTTTGTAACTTTATATTTCAGCATCACTATACTCCAATGGATGACTGTACGGTCCTAACAGTTATTTGATCTGCAGAATGTCTCTTGTCGCAATATTTTATTGCTAATTTGTTATGTGATTTAGTCAGGTTTTGTTATTTGTATTTTCACTCGCATCGTAGTTAAAAAAAAATATCTCTCAAATCTGAATAAATTTCCCGCTGTTCTTTTCAAACATCTTAATAATATCTAAATCAAGGAATGATTTGTTCAAGGGTTGACTTGCTCAATTCAAAATATCTTCAAACGAGATTAAAAGTGTTTACACATTCACTGCTATAAACCGCATCTTTAATCGCCAACTTTATAAAGGAATTTCCAAACTGTTCTGTGACTCATTGAATCGAAAAGTTCCACAGGTTACGAAACCTTGTAATTACTAACCTTCGTTGTTACGAGATTGCGCCGTGGTGTATGACAGGCTTGTTATAACATTATTTAAGTTAATACAATGAATTTTAGGTCAAGCTCTATAACTATCAGAGCTTCCGCACACTGGGAATATTCATTGAATACATCACGAGATATTTCATAACATGACACGAGTTGAAATTGGGGGTCGCAAGGTCGTTAAAATCATTGAGTGCTCTTGGGTTATTGGACTTAAGTAAAAGTGCTTGAAACTGTTGAATGGTTTTGAACAAATAGAGCGACTAATTATTGAAACAAACTCAATTTGGTACTTAAGTTTAAACTTAAACGTGTATATAAGTACCGCTGATCACATAACGGTTAAACTTTTGAAATAAATTGAAATATTTATTTTTAAATGAGTTCACCTTTTTAGTTATGAAAAAGGTTGTAGGAATTAACGCAAAGGCACTTGGAAAAATGTTTTACATTACATAGAAGTATCGGAGTACCGTTGTAAATAATCGCAGCCGCCGAAGGATGTATCCGAGAATCCTGTTGTAGGTGTAGTGAATGAGCCTGAATCCTCCACATCACTCGATTACTTGAAGGACTAGTCCTTCACGTTATAAGGCCCATCAGGCCGAAAGTTAAAAGTAAGTATTATGTGTAGCATATTATATCACTGAGCGTTGGATTTTATGCATTTTATCGAAAATATTAATAAAAATTTTACGTAATTGTTTTAAATGACTATTTCACGTTACACATTGGTGGGAGTGTATATTATTTTTAATTTTTTCTTTTTACGATTTATATTTTTTTAATTAAATGTTTTTAATTTGTCTTAATATGATTCAAGTTTCTATTAGTTATTTTTAATAAATATTTTATTCAGTTGACACGATGATATTCTGCAATTTAAAAGATAATGAATTATTAAGTCAAATTATAATTTGTTAAACTTTCCAATTATTTTAATTAAAAAAAAACAATTAAAAATACGAATCATGTAAAAATATAAGACAAAATATCTTTTAAAATGGGAAAAAATTAATTAAGTAAATAAAATCAAGACATTTATTTTATTATTGGTTATCTTCGATATTAAAGCGTTTAAACGAAATAAAAAGTTTAATCGAATAAATAAGAAATTCAAACTTAAAAAATGATTAATAGATCAAATGAAATAAATAAAAAAAATAAATAAAATAATAAAGTCGCGAAAAAGCACGTCACGGCACCAAGAAGTAAAGCGCGGCATGCGCGAAGAGCGCGGTGGTAGACGCGTCGCGCGAGTTCGACGTGAGTTGCGATCGCGAGGTGTGCACGAGAGAGACAGTCGGGCAAAGCGGAGCTAGTTGGTGGACGGGACGTAACTGAGCGACCTTTAGCCCCGAGTGATTTCAGACCTTATCGGCCACCTCCCTCCCTCTCTCTCTCTCTCTCTCTCTCTCTCTCACACACACACACATACTTTTAGCGTAGCGCCCCATTCTTCAACCCCTCGCGCGCGAGCCGCCGGCCGGCGTCGTCGTCGCCACCACTGTGTGGCCCAAAAGGGCTGCCTGCCACCTTTTTCTTGTTTCCCTCGCGCGTGTTTTCACATACGTCTTTTGCCCCTGGACAATGCCACTGTGCTGCGATTCTACTGCAGCTAGTATCCTGTTGCTTTATCGGTTCTATGTGTATCTGCTGCCTTAATGGGGGACTTGCCCACAGGTTGGGACTACATATGCAATGGGAAACTTTGTACTAAACATTCATTCACCTTGTCACGGAACTGTTCGGTATTTTTTGACATCTTGACATTTGTTATTCATGAATTGGTATTTGTTGAAATAAATTTTGCGAGATTGTTGATCTGCGCGTCTTTCGCGTGAAAACTAAAGGAGTTGAAATTCGATAAATGTTACTAGTCACTGCAAAACTATCCTCGAATCTTGGTCCACTGAGATTTAGCACACGAAGAGTTTGATCGATCGGCAATCGATATCCATGTAAGCATGTATCGGAGGAGCATGCCTGCGCGATTGAAGCACAAGCAGCACGGCGGATAGAATGCGAGAAAGAGGGCGTAGAGGGGAGTGGGGCTAGGTACTATATACAGGGCGGCTCATCAAGAAAACAATATATCCGCGCCCCGCGGCGAACGGGAGCTTTGGGCCGTTCGTGTCTCGCGAAAAGCGAGCAGCGGAAGGGCGAACTCTCGATGCCTTATTCATGAGGACTCTCACCGCGATAACACTGATTCGCTTAATAAACGGCTCTAAAGGAGGGGGCATCCACCACCACTATATGCTACACTATAGGCCAAGTCTTATTCAAACGGTCCGCTATATATCTCCCAGGGCTTAACTTGCCAACGCGCACCGATTCTCTGCTATGTGCCGGTGCCGCCGCCGAGCTTCCCGCCCGACTCTCCCCCTCTACTTCGTGCGCGCTTTCTTCTTTCTATTACTCGCTATCGCGCCGATGTTTCCTTTTTTCTCTTTTCTTTTTTTTAGCAGACTTTTCCGTTGATTTTCCGATGGGATTTTCCTGCTGCCGCTTTCCTGCGCGCAGACCGGCAAAGCAATTCCCTCGATCGAAACACTCTTTCCCTCGAGGAAACATCTGCATTGTCATGAAGCTCGCTGACAATCAACTTTTGCGAAGTCGCACTTGAGTCTCTTTCAATTTCTCTCACGCTCCGTTCCGGCGCGTATGTACCTTGATTTGGCCATTCGAGCTTGACTGCGTGCTCGCGCGCGAACGAGAGGGTCAGCGCCTCGCCGAACGCGCCGAAGAAGGCGAGATGCAAAGGTTTGCCCGCGGGGCCGCATTCGCCCTAGATTTTCCGGAATTTCAAGCCCATGCGTGCTCGATCCTTCGATGTTCGATCGCCGAGCTCGCCTATACGACGGGCACACTCGCCAATTTTTCGGGCTCCCATTAATTTTGTCTTTAGCCGGTCTCACCTTGACCCGTTGTGTGGGAAATTGCACATTTTACGCTTGAAACGCCACTCGACGAGGTATACGCGACCATTCCTTTTTCTTTGTCCCTTGGGGTGTTCCGCGTGGACATTGTCCACTGTAGTGATTAATTGCAGATGGTCGTCCGTAAACTTTTTGTGAGGCGAAACCGAATAGGGTTGCGCATAATGATGCCTGACGCACAACCGACTTTTGAAACGTTTTCCCGGCTAATTTTGTAACTAGCTCTAAGAGCCTTCGTAATGTCTTTTCCACGTTAAACATGCGCGTAACAATTGACTTTTCAAATCCGCCACATTAAGTTAGACGCCAAAATCGTACAAATTTTCCATATTTCCGAGAGTTGATTATCGCTATAATAAATGATCGATTCATAAAAAGAATGTATGAAATATGTAGCGTTTGAAGAATGCGACTGCGGGACGCGAACGATGCGATCTTATGAAAAGCAATAAATCTGAAATTCTAACTTTATGGTGAAAAAGTTGCCCAAGTATTATGGAGGAAGCCTTTCTGGATTACCCGTTTATATGCACAAGGCTTCAAGCGATAACGACGAAAGCGAAGACTACTGTATACTTTTATTGTCTTCTGCGCGACTCGGTTTACTACTCGATTGATGCTTGTGTCTGCGCCTTCCCGAATATATTATAGTGTAGATATAAGTTATTTTTTGTTATCGATTGCTAGTTGCAAATTTGCTACGTGGTCGAATAATTGAAGTGCAGTGCCGATACATAACTGTAAATTTCAATTTTACGTCACCAGCTGGAGAAAAAATGAGGATTCTTCGTATTGATAGCCACCATCAGCAAATAACGTAACCATTCGCGGAACGCAGCCTTGACGTGAAGAGAAAAACAAGTTGAATGCTAAACGATTTTTCAGATTATAACGGTTGTTCAATTTATTCTTTTGTATGGTATTAAAAATGAAATCATCGAACAAGCTCTCAATTATTTTCATTAATGTTTCTTATTGATATGATTGAGCAAATTCATATTATATTGGTAAGGTATACGTTTATATTATGTACATTTATAAATAGTACCAATGACAAATAATTTTGAATGATTAATTGCTAATAAAAACGACTGAACTTTTAATTTACTAAAAAAAAAAAAAGAATGTCAAAAAATTACGCAAAGAATAAAACAATTTATTTTGTATGTTTAAAAAATCCAATTGACAAGTATACTTAAGTGGTGAAAAGTGAAAAAGACTACGAGCGTAGAATGAGAGACAGAAAGCTCCAAATTAATCTCCTTTCCAAATCTATCGTACGATTCCAGAGAGTCGGCCAAGGAAGGAGGTGTTAGCCATTATCAGCGCAATATTTACTTTTCACCAAGTCTTATCGATAATGGACATCGACTGGAGGAGCTGCGCGACGGCATTCGGACCCTGTATAAGCGCGCGCGAGTGTTTAAATTGTCGACCCCCGGGGGAACGGTTAGTCTCTTCCGGTCAGCCCCCTTCAGCCCATTAGACGACCTTCTTTTCGGGCGTGTGTCGCTTTCTCTCTCTTTCTCTCTCTCTCTCTCTCTCTCTCTCTCTCTCTCGTGAGCGCGTGCGCGTGTGTGTACCTGCCATGAGGGCTTTTTCTATTTTGGCTTCTGGTTTTACAAACTGGATTATCAGGAGGCCTAGACTCGCATGGTGCAGTGCATGTATAAATCGTGAGAGACGTGTGAGTGATTTTTTTTGCGGTGGTTAGTGTACTATGTTTCCGATTTGAATTTTTCCCCGTGTTATTGTTTCGCGACTGTTTGCGCCGATGAATATTTATGAGATTAAGGATTTTACGGGCCTTTCTTTATTTTGAAAGTCGTGCTTCTTAATACTCGATGCTTGTTCTAGCTTACGATTAAAGTTTTATATTGCAGATAGGAATACATGTATAAAATTGTTAAGTGTCTCTCACAGTATTAATTCATAGGTCGTGTAATATTTAGACTGCTTTTACGAATACCATTTCATTAATTAGTTAATTCAATGTGAAATAACATTGCAAACTGTTATAACAATAATGCATTGGATATATCGACATTTATTACTGAAAAAAAAAATTTTATTTTGAGTAAATCCTTTTAATAAAAAAAGAATTTTTGCAACAAAAAGATTTTCCTGTCGGAGCTAAAGAAGTTACAAAAGATAATCATTTTGTAACTATATCAAGTAAAAAATTGCAGGAATATCTATTACACCTTCGGTGTATCTAAAATTATGAAGAATTAAAGCTGCAATCTAATTAAAAAATGACAATGGTTATAAACGCAAGTGAAAAATGATGTGGTTATCAAACGCATATTTTAGAGGAAGTCCTTCTTGATTCGGCGAAGAGACTGTATTCTTGCTAATTGATCTTGTATAACGGCTGTGAAGACATCTGATTTATAACATTACACAGAAGCCATATGCATGACAAAAAAAAACACTGATCAGCAAAATACGTCCCGAAAGTTTCATTGCGCAATCCAAATCTAAGAAAAGTCTTGAACGGCATATCATCCTTTCGCAGAAATACGTCAAATATCTTTTGAAAGTTTAATGTTCGTCCGGCGCGCAAATCAATATGCTTGCAGATCTTTCCAAGCGAGTTTTTTAAACGAAACAAATAGACTACAAAACTCTTAAACTTAGCATAAAAGTTGTCTGGAATTTCCTCGTACGTCGATCGATTCTAAGAATCTCAGACATACATGCAGCAGCGAGGCCACATTCGATGCGATTTTTATTCGGATGCGCGCGCCAACTATCGTAACGGGACTTTGGTTAAAAAGAAGAGAGAGAATGTTGTACAAAAGTCGACAGTCTAGCGCGAATTGAGTCTGGAAACGAACAATTTATTGCTTTTTAACACTTTTTACATTATAATAATAATAATCTTGGTCTTCGCGATGAGGAGAATCTGAAATTTAAATACCTGTAAAGATGCTAATGCGACGTGGGCGCTAGAACAATTTATTGGAAATTCTTAAAATTTATGTTTTCTAGAAAACGACAAATCTTATTTGATTAGAAAGATAGTTTCGCACTCGATTTGGTAAAGCGATACTCGCGTCGATTTATTATTCATGCATGGTGAATCACATCGAGCCTTTTATTGAAAAATACTTTAATTAGTATAGTAATGTATTTTTATGGTTTGTTTATATATATTTTTGAGCTACAAAAATTTTGACAATATAACAAATTCTTATTTGGAACGATCGATAGATGATCTTGTGCAGTTTTTAAAAAAGAACCAGCGAAATTGAACGAGACCTTGTTTGATTCATACATGTACATTTGCTATACTTATGCTATGCAGGTAATCAGCAAAAATTAACTTGAAAAGTAATGATTATTGATTTCGATAATATCTATTAATATTCAATGAGATTTCTTATTGGAATATAATTTTAAGAAAAATAAAATTTACACATTAAGCAATTTCTCATCATTTTCTTACATTTTCAGTGAAATTCTTTCACCGAAAATGTTTTGATTAAGTTTACAATAATTCATTTAAGTATATGTGTTTTATGAAATAAAAATATATTTATTCGAACTAAACGAAAAAGCGGTTGTTAAGAAAGAATAAGTATTAATTTCTTTTTAGTTCCACACGACAGAGAAGCACTATAGCCAAACATTCATTCAAGTTCAGAAGAACGTGTCCGACATCACTTCAAACGAGAATTAATTGATTTATCTTGAAAAAAAAAATTATCGAGATCTCGAAAAACTTCCATAATGGCTCAATCGAACTCTGGCAATCCTCCTGAGAAAAGTTAAAAATGAAAAAGGCCTTGCCGCTAAAACGTATCCCCTGATGTGGTCTCAGTCTCGTTGGGGGCAGCGTGCGAAGCGCATCAAGAATGCAAAAGGAGCGCTTGCACAACAAAAAGGGAAAGAAGAAGAAGAAGAAGAAGAAGAAGAAGAAGAAGAAGAGGTAGAAGCAGAGCGCATAACAGCTGCTGCTGGTGCCTGTTGTATGACTCACCGGCAGACTTTTCTTCTTGCAGCAGGGCCTCGGTGCTGCGTCCGCTGGCCTGCAGCCTGAGGTAGCCGAGGTGCCGCGCGAGAACCCGACCCGAGTCGGACAACTTTTCCCGCCACTCGTCCAAAGTCCAGCCGAGGATATCCCGCCCCGAGCATCCGGTCAGTGCCCGAGGGTCCGGTGCCGGTCGTAGCGAGAACGCCCTCGCGCACCACCCGAGCCACGAAACCACGTGACTCGCATTCCATTCCAGTGGATCTGTGAACGAGGGAAGTTATACAATTTGGTGGATGATCTTTTGCGCTCCTCTCTTCTCGCCGGGTTGACTCGGAGCCACGGCAATGTACAATTTGCGTTGCCACGTCTATCTTTACTTTCTCTTTGCGGTTAAATGACATGCTTAGATACACCAGCATAGGAACATTTATTAAAACGATGTATCTATCGCATGCTTTCGGTTGACAGCTAATGTCGTAAAATTTACTCGAGTATGGAAACACGAACGCGTAGAGAAAAAACACGTAACGATGAATCAAAGCAACGCAGAAACCGTTTGAGCATGTTTCATTCATTCATCGGCGCGTTAAAATTAGAAGCTTGCAATCAATTTTAATTTTAGACTCATAATAGTTCCTTCGAATAAATGCCATACGTTAAAGATCATTAGATATGTTGCGAATATAATTTCAAAACAGTCGTGCTGTAAACAAATTGATTTAACAGAAAAATTCGGGCAATTATTGCGAATGAGCCGGATGCCAAAGACCAATTTTTAATGGCAAAATAAAACGGACGTTTTTCTTAGTTTTTAATAATTCGATTATTTCCGTCTTCTTATAATTTTAATAAGAGCTACTTGTAATTTTTTTTCAATATTGAGATACAAATTCTTCGTGATTAATTTTGCGATATCAATTTACGTTTTAGCACTGACAAAAATGTATGTACAAGAAAGAAAATGATAATGACCCTTTGTGTTATTAATTTTTGAGATAGATTTAGAGTTTTCATTTTTTATCAAATTATTATAGTAATTTTGAATTTTCATTTACACCTCAGGTTCCTAACCAGAAGCTCCAAAAGAATCCTAGAATGTTAATTTTTTCCTAAGGTTATGTCCAAAATATTTAGAATTCGTCATTGGTATATAAATACAAATTTTTAAACATACGCGATAACGAATTTCACTTTTTTAACGTTTCATAATCATAGAATTACAAATAACACCGGTCAAATTGAATAAAATTTACTATGAGATTACAAAAATTTTGTTGAAAAGTAAGCGATGGCATCAGGGGATGCTATATAATGCCAAAAAGATCACGTTAAGCATCTCATTGAAATTTAGAATGCCGTACACAAGAACTAAACGAGCATTTTTGATTTTTGTTTTTTTGATAAGTTGCATTGTATTTAATACTCATAATGATGAAGTGCTCATTTTACATCTGAACAATTATATTGCAAAAAAGTGGTCGTGAATGGCATACAGCAAATAGTAAATGATGAAACACCTGTCATTTCACAGTACGTATTCCCTTTAGCGTCGAACAGGAAGTTCTTTTTTTTTTCACAGGCACACATATCGCTTGCCCTCGCAAGGTGCCTGAGAAATAAAACAAGCAAGCGGCTGCTGGTCACTTGAAACTAGAACTCCCTTAAAACAAGCTCTGCTCGCCAAATGCCGCCGCGTATCTGGGCATGTGCAGTCCCCCGGGGAAAAAAAAATCCGGAAAGCAGTGTGGATAGCTCTCAGCGAGATCGAGTAGTTGAAAAAGCGCGCAAGTGCAAGCAGTTGAACTCACCCGACGGCACCATGACCGGTTCGACCCTAGAGTCGGAGGCGGTGGTGGCGCCGGCAGCCTGCCCCTCGTCCACGTTCCTTCCGCTTGCCATTCCCAGCGAACCGGAATCATTGTCCTCGCTGCTGGTGGCGCTGTCCCGTCGCTGCAGCGCGCTGATCCTCAGCTGGGCCTCGAGCCCCGAGGCCGACGGCTGCCACTCGTCGCCACTGCCGCAGTGAGCTGGCGAGCGCTCGTCGCTCTCGCTGCTGTACAGCTCCTCAAGGCCCAGCACTGCCTCGACCAACGGCGACGAATCCGCGGACGAGCTCGACGTGCAACTCGATCCGGTTTCCTGATACGATACATGCATTTCGTTCAGCTTTTCTCTGTCTTTTGGACGCATCTATTAATCGTGCGCTTTGGCATTTGCTTCTCACGGACTCGTAACGTCTACTTTTTTTTTATTACAACTTTCGTCAATTAACAACAAAATGCATTCGTGTGACAAGGCCTACGTTGTTTGAATGCCTCAAAATCAACTATGAAATTATTTAAATTAAATAGATTATACACGCTTTAAACTACTTTTGAATAGTTAATTATGGCAGTGGAATGGTGTTATTTGCTAGTATTTTCAAAGATACTGACTCTTATCGTAGCATATAAAAGTTTGATTTGTTGATGATAACGAAATCACGATTGCTAAACCCTTATTCAGATAAATTACATATTACTAAGCAATAGGAGTTCCTTTGTACGTGTTCAAATTATGTTTCTTTTAATATTAATAATGTTAACAAACTCATGTATATTAATATGCTCATTACGCACACTTTGCTGCCTGTTAAAGAAACCTGAGTTTTGGAAACACTACTGAGTTTTACACTTTAAAGAAGTTATCGCGAGCGACAGGCATTACCGAAAAAACCAAAGAAAACAAACAAATGGAACAAAGCTGTCGGCCAAACACTGCGATGATCTTTAGGAAATAGAGAAAAGCACTGCACTGCTGTATTGCGACTTTACCAGGCAACGATAGCTTGGCGGACTGGCGAAATTGGAAAGCCGATCAAAGTCGGGACTGCTGCACGTCCGGCTAACGACATGGTGATCGTTATAGTACTCGCGAACGACGGGCTGCACTGGTGGACCGATGAGTCGGAAGTCGACAGGAGAGCGAGCGGCGGTGGTGGCAACGGCGGCGGCGGCGGCGGCGGCGGCGGTGGCGGCAGCGCCTTTCGGCGCGGGAGGATGATTCACGTACATGTGCCAGGCCGGCGCTGCTGCTTACCGGGAAACCCAGTCATCCGTCGAACGCTTTCCGATTTTCCCCTTTCCCGTCGATTTGGCACGAGAGTGGCGAGCTGCTGTCGATATTTCAGATCGGCGTCCGGCGGTCGGGGATGTCCGCGGCGTGGAGTTACGCGCGCGTATATAGCGGAACGCGGCCACGTGCTCGCGCCGGCCGTTCATTCAGGACTTTGGCTCCGACGGATCGCGCGGCTGCACGCGTGCCTGCGGAACAGCGGCCAGCGGGACTCGCCGATTATACGCCAGCTTTATAAACTGAATAAGATCGCGGCGACCGAAGCTTCATTTCTCTCTGCTCTCGGCCGCGCTCACTCGCCACGAAGTGGGGACCATTGTGGGAGTTGACTTCTCTCGGTTCTTCTCGCTCTTTCGAAGGAGGCTTGTGGCGCCTTTTTGTTCTGTTCGAGGCTGCGATTTATGAAGATTGCCGCCTGTCCGCTCACGGCTCGGCTAAGTTCACGCCTGTCTCAACATTGTACGTTCATCTCAACCGAATTGTCAAAACCAAGCTTTTCGCGCGCTTATAGTAGCTCGTTATGCAATTGGACGAGAGACGAGCACGAGCTGTTGAGTGCCAGTCGGCTATAAGTGCTGTTTATTTAATATTATCTTTTTACCCAGACCTTAATGTACGATTAATCTTTACAACAAGTTCTTATCTGTCGTCGAAAGCTATAGAGAAATACGCTTCTGTACTAAAATAAAATATTTCACGTCTCACATTCGGCATTTATACATATAGCAAATGAAATCGAACCCTGTAAAAGATTTGCTGATCACTTTAAAATTTCATGCAAAAACTAAATTAATGCTTTTGAAATTTTACTGATCACTTGGAATTTTCATGTACAGACAAAATTAATGCTTTTGTAATAATATAAGAATTTACTTCAATATTTTTAGCGAAGCTTAAGAGCTCAAATTTTGTAAACATTTTAACATGCTTTTACTGAAGCTTTTGTTCCAAAGTTATTTTGTATAACTTTTCACCAATTTGTCAAGGTTCATAAAAAAGTCGTATATATTCATTTTTGTTACAAAGAAAGGAGTACAAAAACTTTATGAAATTGGTCGTCACAGGTAATTAACAATAATCAGAGAGTGCAATTTCCAAATCGTATGATTTCAATTACGTAATTTGCTACAAGATATCTCAATGTAGTTAAAATTACATCTGTATAATGTACAAACTTTTTATTTTTTGTTGCTAACTATTTCAGTTACAAAAATATGATTTAAGATTAGATCATAATCATCTAAGCTTCTACATTCAATTTGAAACAAAAAGAGATAATGCCCATTACAATTTCTTTAACGTGATGTGCTTCCTTTAAAATATTATAACAAGAAAATATGTGAAAAATAATAAAATCAGTGTATACTTTCAACATAAAAAAATATATTTTTCGATGCATTAAAATTTGAAGTGTTGTTCATAACTCTTTTAAACATTTAAATATATACATATATATTTATTTATTTATTTATTTATTTATTTATTCTTGAAAATATAGCCGTCCATATAATTCAGTGAATTCTACATAATATTAAATTAAAACTCACGTATATTTTTCCATAAAATCTAAAAGTAATTTTACTATTCATAAAACTGGAAAATTTATACAAACAGTGAAATATTAAATTCTACATTTTATTGGTTTTAGAGAAAAGAAATAAGTGGCGCATAATAACGTATGCCTTTTATTGAGCTTGTTTTTTTTAAATTATAAATAATTTTATAATTATTATTATCTAATAATAATTATAATTATTTTTCATTAATCAGCCTCAACTTATCAAATGAAAATTAAAAATTTTTGGGAGTTTCCTTTAGTAAAAAAATCAGACAATGAAATGATTATGATGATTATTATTATATCAATCATTATAGTTAAATTAAATATCAAATAGAGATATTTTATATATTTTTAATTTAGAAATTCTATTGTAAGTATATTTTAAGTTTTATTATAAATTTTGAATTAAAAAAATATATTTACTAATAATTGGTATTTGATATTGAATAGTCAGAAATGTGTTACCATAATAAAAAGTCGAGCGGTTTACAACAATTTCCATTAGTCTAGAATATACCATCACATTACAAGAATATACTTGAAGTTAACTGGAAATGATTAGACTACTAGTTACTTATTTATCAATTGATAAAGTAAGAAAAGATTTACATCAAATTGCAAGTGATGCTGAGGTCAACCTGCTATCGTATGTTATTTGTGTAGAACAATGAAATAATTGAAGATTTGATAGTATAGGCTTATCGATAATTGAGGTAATAGTAGATTTAATTAAAATGTGCTGATTAAATATATAATAATAATATAATTAAAATTGAAAAATAATTAAAAATTAAAATTAAAAATAATTTAAAAAATACGTTAATCCACGTAGTTGTTAAATGTATGAATTGAGAAAATTACGCAAAAAATGTTTTTCTTAGGTTTGTGGTATTATGACCAAAAACTGACGAGGAATCGTATTTAAATTACATTCGTGCTTTGCATTGAAGAGATTTTTATGTATTTCTGTGAAGGAAAGGATTCATTTGCTTCCTTAGTCACAATTCCAAATTTACTGAGCAATTGACGTTGAGTAATGTTGCAATAACTAGAAAAATCGATGATAATTGGTAGCTCGTAAATTTGTACAGGCTCTCTTCATATAGACACTCATTGGCTGCTGTTGGACCACCAGTGAAAGAAGTAATCACTTATAATTCCCTGCATCCGGTGACAGTACAACGAGATCAACCGCTACGCGCTCTTACGCATTGAACATAATTAAAAGGTATCGTATTACGCGTGGCTCGCGCGAATACATTAGCTTTCGGAAAGTTTGGAATAATATACGGCACACCGTCGCGACGATCAAACGGACACGTGGACCCGGGCGACGGGACACACGCCGCGCCGCCGCTCGATCTCCATACGGCTTTTACCATGCTCGCTGACTTCCTCTGCCGACGGATATATATTCCAGCGCTCTTATATTTTTCGGCGTCTTTCACGAGGGCCGATATAATCGTGCGGTTCCCGGGAAACGATGAATCCGCTCTTCTTCCACTTACCTCCACGAATTTCACCATTGCTGCACCCGTTATAACGTGCGCTTGTGTGTGGCGTCCGTTAAGAAGAGGAGACCGCAGGTGCACACAGTCCGTTCCTCGGATCGAGGGATACGGCTTGTGGACCTTTGCCGGCCCTATGCACGTGGTTCTCTGGAATACCAAGCATTTGCTCTGTCGATCGTGCAATTAATTTTCAAATTATTCTACTTCAAGCTATATCTCAATTTAGTTCTAGATTATTCTGTTGAACAATAACGATGAAAATCATCGACAACTATAGCGTTTTAAAAACCTATGCAGATGAAAAGTTCAATCGCGCAATAAGGGACGAATGAGATGATTTGTCGTAGCCATTGTCAGAAAATTACGAAAAAAAAGATGGAGGTACGTTCGGTCGGACCAAATCGCCCGTTACCACTGAAAGCAAAACTCAACCGAGCGACTGCGGCGGCACAAGGTCAAACGGGCGAAGAATGCCAAAAAGAGCGCGCTCGAATGCAGCCTCATTCATAACTCGCTCCTATTCGGCGAAAGTAACGGTACCGCTGAACGTCCGGCGCGCACGCGCGGTCGAAAGATATTCCCATGCTAATCGTCGCACGCGCCATACCTACAATTATGTTGCGAGAGTAAAGCGAAGGTATTAAGAGTCCGGGCATGCGTGGTCCTCGCGGTTCATTTCCCACCGGCGTCCGTTCGGCTAAATTGTACGCGCTCGCGAGCTCGTTGCGCGTTATCACCCGTGGCCGAGCATCCGTACGCGACAGCTATCGACTTCCCGGAACCGCCGGAGGTAAAAGTAGGGAGGGCGCGACTGCAGCCGAAAACCGCGTGCACGCATCTCTGAACGCTGAATCATCGCTTCTCTCTCTCTCTCTCTCTCTCTTACTCTCTTACTCTTGCGGCCAAGTGAGCGGCTGATGCCAACTCAAGCCTCTACTTACGTGACTACTTGGCGTTTTATCCGCGGGCTATATACATCGGCCGTGGGATACCTGACTCGACCAATAGCACGACTTTTTATGTTTTTTTGTGTTTTCGCAGGAATCGGATCGAACGCCAGGCATTCCAACGTTCGCGTTTCATTCATAAAGTCTGTGGCAGAGAGTACGTAGCCCAGTTTTTCGGCAGCGCGAGAAAGTGAAACGGTTCATCAACATTTCAAAGTTGTGAGTCAAATTAATTGTTTCGTTTTTTTAAATTCTTGATTCAGAGTTTGAGTCAGAGAACGATTAGCACGTGACGAAGTAATAATGGTTTTATTCTACTATCAACTCAAACGATCTGTCGGTTAACAGCAGTGTATTTTTTTAATTACAATTAAGATACGTCGTCGCGAATAACGAGGTTGTTACGTTTAAAATATATTTGTAAAAAAAACATAATTGAAAGAAGTGAAGATGTGGGCGTATAAAGAAAAAAAAAATGATAGGAAGCAGTAAATAATCAAAAATCTTGGAAGCAGTTGTCTCAAAAGCCGCCCCCTGCTCTTACTTGGAGACAAGTCAGTCGTGCAACAGTCGCAGGCAGCGCGGCGAGAAGGAAAACGGATAAAAGGCGATAAATATCGTCGAAGAGTAGTGTCGCCTCGTTTGCCGCCTTTGAGCACAAAAGCACAAAAAGAAGATAGTTCTCGGGCTTCTTTGGTGGGCCGGCGGCTACGGCGAGCGCGCGATATCGGGCTGCTACACGTGTGTACCGATTATTACTTGGCGGCAGGGCAGACACTTGTCGTGCGCGTGAATCAGCGGCAGCGAGAAACTTTCAATCGGCGCGTGAGGTCGACGTATATTTATCCTTCTTCTTCGTTGACACATTTGAGTGCGAGGCTAATTTTCTGCTGCTGCTTCGACGATTAGCTTACGTTTTGCCGGTCGCGCACTGGCGCGTGAGTTGGCTCCGAAAAAGGTGGAAAGGATGTCAAGCGACTAAGACGTCAGCGAAATAATGGTTTTGACCATTAATTTATAAATATACATGTATGTATATAGTGCCGACTGACCTCGCTTAACAGTAGGAGTGGCACACGATGATGAACCAGTGATCCGACAAATGACTTTAAAATTGAGTTGACACTTGGAATTCGGCCATCGTAACTGATTTCATGTTTTATAATTACAAATATTTTTATAATTTAGTACGACTTTTGAGTCCCAAGAATAGTTTTCAAATCATAATTGGTAGAGAGTGTTTAGCAACATCTTACAAGTAATAACTTTTATAGCCGTTCTTTAATCAAATATAATTAAAAAATTCTTTAAAAAATTATAAGTAATACTGGCGAGTTTTACGATATATTGTGTATGTCCTGAACAGTATAGTACCCGCTTAAAGTTTTTCACGATAAAATTTAATGTACAAAAGATCTCATCCTGGCTTTTTACTTTAAAAGCGCATCGTGAAAGAACGAGCTAAAAAGATGTTAAAAGGCGCCTCGGTGACAGCGAACGCAAAAATACGCGGCGCCAGCGTATAAATAAGCGGATAAATGAGAAAGCGCGCAAAAGCCAAGGTGTTAGTGTTGGAACGAGTCTCGCGTCGGTACATTATCCTTTGATGTTCTGGCGCGGTGGTGGGTTCACGTAACGTAGACCCCCTGGGTCACCTGGGTGGTCGACTTTCCCGGCGGTGGCGTCTACCTACGACAACGAGCGTCTTCTGTTCGCGCCACCCTGTTTAAAAGTCACGATAAATGCTTATTTTCACCAACTGTATCCGATACCACGCTGGGTCAGTTCGCATTTGAATAACTACTAACATAGGCCAAAAACATTTCAAAATGGAAAAAAATTTATAAACGCGATAACATATTTCCGTAAGTTTTCGAAGCGTTCAATCTGTATCTGGTTTCAGAATTGATCCAGCACTTAAGGTTTTCGAGATATCCCAACCTAAAAGTGCGAAAATCACAATATTTTACTATGTTCAAGGTTATATAACACCGTGAATACATTTTTTTCCAAAACTAAGTAGAATAATAACAAAGCAGCAATCTTGCCTATTAAATCTCATTTTTTTAATTAGAGTTGTCTTGTTTTTATCGAGATATTATTGATTAAAGTTAAGTACTTTAACCTTTGAACCCCAATTGCTTTAACTCCCAACTTCTATAACCTGTGACCATATAACCCTAGAGTGCTGAACCCAATTGCCTTAACCCAATCCCTGATCTCTGTAACGTGGAATTTTAATGTTGCGAAACTGCTAAAATACTTAACATCAGTCAATGATATCTCGATGACATAAAAAAATATCTCTAATCTAAAAATAGAATTTAAAGGCCAAAAATATTACTTTATGATGGTTTTACTGGTTTTTGGAAAAAAAATTTATTCACAGTGTTACATAATCTTGAATACCTAAAATAATCGTGATTTTTGCACTTTTAGGTTAGATTATCTTGAGAATCATAGGTAATGGATTAATTCTAAAGCCAGATTCGAATCCAGAGCATCGAGTACTTTCGAAAAGAAACTATCGTGTTTCTGGGTTTTTTTTTATGTCAACCTATATAATTTATACCTGGCCATTTAGCAGCTTCTCTTGTGAGCCTTACAATGTTTTCGATTCGTATTATAGGTTTTTTTAGTACTTAATACGCTTTGTACAGTTGCTGGCTCCTTAAGCAGTAGGAAGATCTTGAAAAGACCAAGCATTTTGGTTATCTAACGTCGCATGCGAGCTGTCAGTAATTAGATTTTACTATTAAATTGAAGCTTTACAATTATGTTGAAATTATTCGTTTACTCTTTTATTAATTAAACCCGATTTACAATTAAATTTCAAAGTTTTTATAAAAACAAATAAAAAGCTGTATATTGCTAGAAAATGAATACAAGAGACGAAAATTATGATCTAAGAAATCACCTCAAAGCAGTGCAACCTTTATTTTTGCCATTCAAATGATATAGAATTAAACAATGATAACAATCACAGCTTACTACTCTATTAGCTTCTAGAGGTAACTTTGTACTGTTACTGTGCTTTACAAAAACAGTTTTTAAATACACATAAGTTATACATTATTAATAGATCAAAAGTATACTATACTACAACACTTTTACAATGTTTTTTATATGCATGTGTGTATATTAATGTATGTACATTTAGCTATATTAATATTGTAACTGTTAAATACTTTTTCTCTTATTTGAATTATGAGTCGTAGAAAAATGGAAAAGTGAATCAAAGTCTTATTTTGCAAAGTAAAAATCACAAGTTGATACACTTTTTATCTGTGCAAATTCCATTATCAATTGTAAACTAGATCAAACAGAAAATCAATTCAATTTCATTGTCTCTTTTTTGCAGCTTTAACTGCTTTGGTTTTTTGCTTATCCCCACCAGAGAAGTATTGTGTAATGACTTCAGACATTTCTGGCATATTGTAATTTGTCAAATTGTTCAGTTGTTCCATTTCCTAAAAATGACAAAGATGGTACTATCATCTGTTTTATTACAAGGTCTTAATAGAACATATGAAAAAAAAAATAGTACTTTTTTGGTTTCTGGATCGTTCATAATTTTTGGTAATACCATAACCAACAAAAGTGGTAGTATCATCATGAGAATCTGTGGAAATTGTCAGTATTTTAAAATCCATTAGATTACAACAATTGAATACTATGAATTTATGTATTACCATTGGATTGAATAGGAAATCAGTTATTCTCCATTGCTCTCTAAGTTGGAAGTATTTGAATGGCTGCACTGGTCTCATTTTTAATGGATATGGAACTTGAAGAACTTGCGAGGTCTGAATAAGATTTACTTTCCTTGCTCTGAATTTACCTTTGGAATTGATTTCTACTCTTACAGGTTCATAAACATAATTAGGATTAACTACTTCCACTACGTATGATCCTGAAGGCACATTTGATATGATAAATGTGCCATCTTCTCTGTAAATAATCATGATAGCTGTCAATAATCCATAATCAATTTTTTAATTTTTAAGAAGTTGTAGGTTATTTATTAAGATATTCGATTTACTTTCGTAAAAATATATTCATTATTTTACATAGCAACTATGACAGCTGTACTCTTGTTGTAGTCAAGGCCTACAAAGTAAGTTTGTCGATAATTAATAATTTATTTACCTTAAAAATCCATAATGTTCCCCTCCGTTGGCCATTACGTGAGTCATTAGTTGCCACCTAGTACTTCCAGCATTTTCCCATGGAAAAACCTTTCCCTCAATAACATACAGATCCGAAGACAACTCCTCTTCATTTTCTGCAAAAATATAACTACAAAATATACTTAAAATTAAGAAATTTACAAAAACAATTCGTGTTGTTCTCCTCATGATGCTACATCCACTTTGCAAAATAACACGTCTGCTTTTTAATCAGCTGATGCCCAGCAAAGTCACGAAGTGAGTCTCTAATCATAAAGACTATTTATGTTAACCAGACTGATTTCAAAAACTTTAGTTTGAAGTTTGATGTATGTTACTTTATATGTTAACCAGACTGATTTAATAAATTTTGAATATGCATGTCATTTATTCAAATAGTTTTTAATTATTTATTAAGTGAATTAATTTAAATAGAAAATGTAAAAAATAAATGTAAATAAATGTAACAAAAAATGTAAATATATAAATTTAAATAAATAAATGTAAATAAATGTAGAAAAAATTTATATTTATAATTTCGTGTAAAAAGTAATTTTTATTTTATGATTGGTTAATAGTCGAATGGTAGGTTTGAGTCAAGGGTCTTATTAAGATGCATAAGTCCGGTTGCGCAGTAGCAACTGCACATTGTACAGTTGTAGTATAGAGCTTCTGCGAAACTGGATAAATTTATATCGATAGCACCCAAGCGCTGGTTAATTGTTAATCTGGTTATTTTGGTTTGAACTTTGAATGTAAACACAACTATTCGCAACATTGGCACGCTCAATCTGCGAAGTTAAAATCTAAATTATTTTGACGATTGAGCGTCGATGATACCAAACGAGGTTAGATCAAGGACTTATTTTGACAAATTGTGCCCCCGCAATTTGTCAGAAAATAGAATATTATATACCTAGGCCGGAAAAGTGTTGGTAAGTTCATAGCATGTGAGAATCAAACACATGTTATATGTGGGCTGGAAAATTTTCTGGTAGTAGTACGTATACAAGTTTTTTGACCATCGAGGCTGAATTTAGCATGTTATCGAACGAGTCATAGCCGGGAAAAAGCTACTTTCGGCCTCGCTGGGTAAAAAAATAGTATACGATCTATAACCGATGGATTTATCGATATTTTTACAGCGTTGGGTTGTAATCTATTGCTTTTGGCCTTGGGATCAGCATTTAAAGTGCAATCACTTACACTCATTAAATTAAATAATATAAAAAGACTGCCAAATAGATTAGAGATAAGGATTCTAGATCTTATCAAGACCTCAAAACCAGGAGCGGCACAGCCTTATGCCTTTTTCCCCTTCTTCAAAACAAGAACATCGCTATGTATTCCAACAACAGTTTTATTCTACTTAGAAACTACAAAGAAAATTAGGGGAGACATATGTGAACTATTTATCTCATTTAAGAAGCCACACAAGAAAATAGGCTCGCAAAGTATAAGCAGATGGATTAAGAGAGTGATGAATAAAGCTGGCATTGATGAAGAATACACAGCGCATAGTACAAGACACGCTTCTACCTCTAAGGCTCTAAATCAAGGTCTAGACATAAATATTATTAAGAATGCAGCAAGCTGGACGGAGAAATAAACTGTTTTCGGGAAATTTTACAATAGACCAATTAAGGCTACAGAGAGAAGCTTCGCAGAAGCTGTATTTTCATAGCTAATAATTTCAAGCACTTTCAAGCTAGAGTTTTTATTTAGCATGTCTATAAAGATAAGAACAGTATTGTTGTTAGTGTGATGTAATAAAGTTTTACTTAATTCTCTAAACATCTACAAGTAAAATATCTTCGAACAAGTGTAGCAAATTATAATTGATGATGGGTCCCACCAATTACCTCGCACTTCTCTAAACTTAATGAGTAGAGTGGCCGGCAACCCGGTTGAGGTAGGGCAAGAGGCAAGGTAGATAAGACAGAAAGCTAACTTGTCCGGATTTATCTCTAAAAAGTGGCGTCACCTGACAACGAGTTGCGGTACTACAAGTAAAATATCTTCGAACAAGCTTATTCATATAATTATGATCGAACCTCATTTGCAAGTTCGTTTAATTAATTTTATCTATTTTTCGCATAAAGCAAATGAGCATAATCGACGCACAAACGATGTGATTAATTAAAAGCCGCCTAATCGAATGATGTAATTAGTTTATAGATTTGTTTAATATTTCAATTGTTGGGTGCTAACTTTTAAGACCTTGAAAGATTAATGTATAGATAACATAGGTCGACTCAAGACTTAAGAAGTACTATTGCATGACGGTCATAGGGTCTGTGCATGAAAGAAGGAATAGAAGGAACAGAGTGGAACAAAAAAGCACAAATAGCTATCTGTTCCTTTTTGTTCCTTTTTGTTCCTCTCTGTTCCTTCTATTCCTTCTTTCGTGCACAGACCCATATCTGTTATGTTGCTCAGAATGCTTACATTAAAACGGACAACTACCATCTTCACGTCACATTTTATATAGTCACCACTCACCAGTCCGTAGTTTTGTCATTAGCATGCTGACTTGTTGAAGACGACCATCGTGTTGGAATTGTTGGAAGTCAATTATATTATTTATTTAGTAATTATATTAATAATTCAAGTGAACATAGAATTTGTCGAAAAAATATGGCAGATACTCACGGAGATAATCACAACACGTACAAGTGATTTTGATTTATTAATAGTAACGTAACTTAGACAATTACATAGATAAATACACGTTTAATTTTAAGTACTATATAAGACTGTAGAGTAGATTATTAGTCACAATGGACGATAGTATGAAACTTCGTCAAATGGAAGATGAGATGAGTCGGTGAGTACATAACCTTTTTTTACTTTATACTTTTATTTTCTTGTTTTTGGTTCATAAAGTTAATTATTATTTATTTAAAATGAGCCTGTTTTAATTGACATATCTTTCTATCAACAAAAGTCTAATAACTGTTGCTGTTTCAAATTATTTAGTAAAACGTATTTTCATCAATAATTTTAATAATGTAACCATTGCTTATTATGATAAAATAATTTTATCATAACATATTATTTTCATAGTGTAGATAAGATATCTCAATATGACATAAATAGGTGCAAAAATTATAATTTTTTTTTTAAGTTATTTTGTGATTACTCTAATCATCAGTCATTATTCTAATATCATTATTAAATTGATAGGTTTGAGGCCGAAATAGGAGGACAGTTGGTTCCTTCTTTAGGACGGCCTGTAATTGGAGCGAATACATACAACCAAGTAGCAAGACAACTAGAACAACATGAAATACCAGCTAGTGTTACAACATTAGCTGCTGCAGCAACTGCAGCGTCATTAGCTTTTCCTCCAATGCTTGGTTTCCCACCTCCACCACCACCACCTCCACCACCTCCAGCTCCAATGATGATTCCAGCACAGGTTGCTAGACAAAGTGAGTAGTCAAGTGCATTTTATTGAGTTTCTTACCCTACTATTTTATATTTGTAATTATTTATTTTTTGTAAATTTAGATACAGTTCCTATTTCAACGTACTCATCCCCAGCACAAATAACTACTTCTTTTATATCAAATATAGTGGATCCATGTCTAAGTGCTACTCCTAAAACTTATGAATCAGCACCTGCGACTCCAATTATTCATCCAGAAATAATAGAGAAAATTATAAATACAAAAATACCAGAAGATGATTCTAAGAAAAAGCCAAAGGTAAAAGGTGTAAGCACTGCTGCTGAATTAGCTATTAGTCAAGGAAAAGCTAGTTCAATCATGGCTAATGCTAGTGCAGAAGAGTCTCATCCGAAAGGAAAAGGCAAAAAAAACAAAAAAATAATTAGGACAGCAGGTGGTCAAACATGGGAGGATCCTTCATTGCTTGAATGGGATGATGGTGAGTTGCAGTGTTTATATTTTTTTAAATTAGTTTTGATCCATTTAATGTTAAGAGTCTGCAAGTTGGTAAATTAAGATGAAAAACGAATTTATTGGTGGATTGTGATAATATGACTATTCACCGCATAGACTTATTTTAGTGTCATTTTTTTTTATAGTTAAAAAGTTAAACATATGCATACACGAAGCAATAAAACTTTCTTTAGTATTGATAAGTTTGTGGAAGGTGTTATAAATTGATATTTATGGAAGTCACGTCTAAAAGCGAAAGTTTTCCTTGATCATTCATGTGTCTCATTTCAGATGACTTTAGAATATTCTGTGGCGATCTGGGCAATGACGTCACCGACGAGATGCTTGTTCGTGTTTTTGGCAAATATTCCAGCTTCCAGAGAGCTAAGGTCGTCCGAGACAAGCGTACCAACAAGACCAAGGGCTTTGGCTTTGTTTCCTTCAAGGATCCTCAAGATTTTATCAGGGCAATGAAAGAAATGAACGGTCAGTCAATATATTTTTTTTTATTTTAACTCTTCAAAATAATGCTTTATTTTCTTTTTTTACTATCAATAAGAGAGGACGCAAGTGCAAGTTTGCGCAACTTGTTCGTTTTTCGTACTTCATTTATTTCCATGCAACTTTTTTCATTTGTTCTTTTGTTTTTATATTTTTGTCTTTTTTTTATGTTTTATTTTTTATTTTCATGAATCAATAATAAGGAATTAAGTACAATGGTTGCATTCGTTTGAACTATCTACTAACTCATGACACAGTATTTCTCATATACCGCGAACATTTTTCACTTACATAGCAACTCAAATAATCCCAACGTCTTGAAACATCAAATTACTTCGAGCTTAATCGTTTTTTTTTGTACTTGTAATTTGATTGTTAAATCGTCATTAGTCTTATATATCTAGGCATTTAGGCGAATAATACTGAACGTTTAATAATAGAATCAAATATCTAAACATTTAAAAGCCACGCGACAATTTCATGGTCCAAAACGTTGAAAATAACTTTTTAGCAGTCTAGTAAATATATACGATGTATATGTATATATATGTATATTTGGAACAGAATTCTGAAATTCGCATTTTTAAAAAAATAAATAATGTATTTAATAATTAACACGTCCCCAGTGTTTCTAACAATAGCGTACGAGTACGATGTAGCCTAATAGTCGCTAATCATACAATACATTACATTCAAACTGATTTGTTTGTCGCTGTTAAGAAAGGAAAAGAGAGAAAGAGAGAGAGAGAGAGTAAATAAAAATAAGAATATCGACGTTATGGCCGAGTCAGGGAGCAAGCGCAGCATCTGTTAGTCTTCTTCGTTGATACTTAATTGATTCGTTGGAGAAAGTACTCGAAAAATTTATTTGTACTGCTCACGTCAAGATATAGTTCAAATTCATAAAAAATGTGCGCCTGGCAACCTGGCTTGGTCATTGGGATCAGGGTTAGGATAAGAGCCAATGTGGGACGCGTAGACACTTAACTTGGGGTAAAGCCAGGCCAGAGATTAGGGGATGGCAATCTCTCGTTAGGTCTCGTTAGATAAGGGAATGGAATCGCTTTACTTGCCTGACGGGCCCCAACCATACGATATGAATAGCTGAGGGATTATCGAGTATTGACGTCGTGGTTGCGAGCCGTGAATGCCGTTTCGTAAAGATACTCGATAATTCGACTGTTGATGTTGTTGCTGCTGCTGCTGTTGACTCGTCAGTGGCAATGGCGGCGACGATTCTTTGTGCTTTCTCGTTGGATCGTGATTCTTGTGTGCCTTTGCTTGCGCCGTGCCTTTAATTTAACGTTGATCTTTAAATTAATCGTAAAAATTGTATTTATTTAATTTAATTTAATCGTAAAAATCTCATGTTTAGGTCGGATGCTTAGATTCAATTGTCGCCCGTGAGTGTCCTCGGCGCGTTAAATGCAAAAAGAAAAAGTGTCCGTAAAGGGCGATGCGACTATAGTTATGTCATTAATATTATTTATACTCTCCATTATTACATTAACTAACTAAATAACAAAGTTGGAAGAGAATTCCATGAAACTGATTCTTAAATCTTCTAACTTTGTTATCTAATTGATTAATACAGTTACGCTACTTACTAGCTGCGTGATGGTTAGCTCTTGGACTCATGTAGAGAACGGAGAAGGGCATGCCACCGGCACCCCATCCTCTTGACATGAACATGTCCTTCTTAGCAGGTCGTCCGTAAGCCGACGTCGTAGCTCGCGGCCAAGAATCAGCCGTTACTCGATCGACGGCTCTGGTGCGAATCGGTTGTCCCCTACGAAATCAAAATAGCAACATTGCGAGCTGCATATTTCAATAAATAGGGGTGCACGCGTCATTTTCGTGCTCGATCGAACGGCTCACGTTAAGTCACGCCTGGCATTTTGTCGACGCTAGCAGATATCGATGTGCGAGAAAAATGAGGAGCACAGAATCTCGGAGAAATTGTCACCCGACATTTGACATTTGTTCTTCGCGCGAACCGCGTGTTTATCGTAATCGCGATAGCACGTTTATCAGGCGCCACTTCTCCAGAGCTTACGATCGGTATGTAATCTTCAACTATTATGCAGCCTCGACAAGCACTTCTGCATCGTAAAAAACTAGTGAGTCATGCGAGTTGGTTTCACGTGCAATGTATTGTCAAAACAAAGAGATATACTACGAGGCAGGCGATTCGTGATTTCGAGATGCGCAACGACTCGCGAGCGGTTTATTCAGTGGCGGCGCGAGTGAATTAATTGACGACAGGAGGAGCATGAATGAAGGGAACGTTACTTGTAACGTTGCACTGGGATTATCCGTGAAATCGATGCGCGTCACGTGTATCTGCAATGTACGATTAACCTTACGTGTCGAGGACGGCACCTATGGTAGTGAATCTCTCACGACGACTTTTCGCTCTTTTCACAACCTGTCGGACGCGAAGCTTTACCTGCGTAGCTTTCTGCTTTGCGGTGTTGTGTGCAATTCATAAAACGCGTGACATTGAAAATTTATAATCGTAATAAAAATGTAATTTTAGAGGTGAAATTTGTTATTTTTAGCAGCCCCCTGGCATGCGAATTTTGGCTAAGGAGTCTTCGCATGCTCCTCCAACGTTTATAATACTTTCGAGCCTTGGCCGAATTATTTAAAACAAAATTTATTTTGGATGTGTCTATCGCCAAACAAGCCAATGCTAGAACCGTTTAGCTTCTTTCCTTGATATTTTCGGCTTAACTGAAGCCGAAATTAAACTCTGCATCATTGATTTATCGTATCTTAATGGCTTTCGTTGCGTGGGTTGAACTTACATGATTTAGTCACGTTTTAGTAGTTCATACAGTAGCTTTTATTTTTCAATCGCGTGACTCAGCGTATGAGTGCGCGAACAGCAATTTGACGTGTCATATTTATGCAAGAATTTGATTTTTGTGGTCAGGTTGCGGCTTCTTCAATAGCCTTCTATTCATTTCGATCATTCTCAAATATCTTACTTGCAGAAAAAGCATCGTCACCTGAATTAATAATTTTCAATTTACAAGCCGTGCTATCTATTTTTTTATGCACGTTTCAGCGTGCAGCGATACTGTATCTGTATGAGACGGCAATAAATATCATGCGAATATCACGAAACAATAGCTGTGATTAACGAAACCTTATTACCTCGTATTTACTCTAATTTACAATTGGTTGTGTAATGATTTCGATATAACGAATATATTTGTCTTTCGTCAAAATAGCTTTTCGTTCGTTAGACTAGTAGTCTTCGGCGTAACGCTGAGACTCCAATTCAGCGTTCGTCAAGAAGCACCAATGCAACAAGTAAACGTAGCCAAGCCACGCGTATAAAGAAATAAAGCCGAACGAAAAAGAAGTCGACGCAGCAAAGTGTTTGTCAACGAGTCTTGCTCACCTGTTGAACTCGGCATCTCGCTTGACGGCGTACTCGTCGTGGCGCCTGTCGTCAAGTGGCAGCCACTCCCAGCATCGTCCGATCGCAGGATCGCAATTCGATGTGAGAATCGCCGGGGCTTCCTCTCCGTTGTGGCGTATCGGCCACTCGGATTTCGGCTTGAACGATGGCGCAGCGTAGCACACCGTTATTGCCACCATAACCAACATGCTGGCATACATTCCGCTTCTGCTACCCATTGCGCTTCTGTTCCGTTCTGCAATAAAGAATTTTCGATGCATTTTGTTCGTCAAACTGGATTCATACGGCAACATCCAGCCGTGGACTGGACGTTGCCTAACTTAACACATTAGGACATTAGCTGTCACTTGCGAATTTTGAATTTTCACGATGTCAACGAAAATAGATGGCGATAACGCGAAATATTCGCGATCGATATATACCTTTATAGACGACTATTCCTTCGTGTATAAATAACTTTATTATACTATTGATACTTCTGATTATTCGAATATTTTATTGTCTTATCGTAAGTTTTAAGAAGAAAAAGTTGTACTTCGAGTCGCGTCTGCGTTTGATAAAATCAGAATCTACATTTTGCTCAGACACTCGAGAGATGCTCTCAAATTCTCTTCTAGCTCTAGTTGCCTCCTTAGTTGCTATCGAAATAATAATCTAGCATCGAGAATCAGTTCTGATAATGTGCAAGTAAATGCTGACTTCAAATTGTTGAATTCTCTGGATAAATCGAGAATGTCGATTGCACGTGATTAGAAACTATCGGTGACGGTAGCAGTTAGCCGAGACAAACAGCTTTGTAGAAGTACTATTTCAACATTGACACGCTATTCCTGCCGAATAAACAAGTTGACGTTTATAGACAAGCACAATAATAATATTGCAGCTCCACAGACGCCATTCAACAACGCCGAGCAGCGCGTGTATTTAAAAGCTTTTTGGCATGGAAATTGAATAAGGGAACGCGTAGGTATGCGACATCCCCTTAAACATCCGATGGTTCGAATATTCCTCGTAGCGGTCTATATTCGGTACGAATCAAGGACTACCAAATTACGTTACCAAATTAGGCGAGAGCGTGGGCTCATTGTAAAATCAATTCCCTATATTGTAGCGAGATTTTTTAATAATCTTAGTGGAGCTTCCAAAGTGCGTCTTGTCGCGTTTAATCGCAACACGTTCGCGCGTCACTATCGAATCGTTAATTTGTCAGGAATAGCTCGCTAATAACTAACGATCTGTGTATCGAAAATTTTTATCGAAATGTCCATGTCAAAGGTGCTCAATGCTTTCTCTTTGTGCGGCGCGACAATTGATACTTGGCGATAGGTCAATGTCGCCCAAGATTTTTGCAGAAGATGCTGGACTCACTTTTCCTCGGGAAAAGTACTCTCGATAAAAGCTTCACTTACGGCGAATCAAGAAAAAATACAAAAAAAAAACACTTTTGAGACATCTTGATTGGGAATTGCCCTATTGGCGGCTAAGTTAAAAACATTGTATAATCTTAGTAAATTCTATCGCGTAATCAGTACTTTTGCAAAACGACGCATCGACATTGCTGTATCCCGATTTAGACGCGTGTTAAAAAAGAAAAAAAATAAGGAAAAAGCACATTATCAGCGAGCGCGTGACGTTTGAGTGTGCAACGACGACAGCTGCGACAGATCCTGGCGCCTGCGGGCGCCGCCGCGACAATTCTTAATCGCTCGAGCATTATAATACTGTCGATCGTTGCGGATTTTTACTGGCCGTGATATAAATATTTTTATACGTTCCGCAAAGTATTTCTGTATATTTAGATTCGTGGGTGGTCGAAAATATTTAAAGTATTCACTAAGGATTGTCGCGTGGATTCTTCTTTTTTATTAATTCATGTGGCGTAATTTACATGATTTGTTTGTTGTTTTTTGAAATACAATTTGGTAGTTGACTTCCGTTGGATTTGAATAATTTATTTATTCATTTATTTTTATTAATTTCAATATCATTAATGCTTTTTATGAACAGATTAATCCTTTTAAAGAGAAGTTATTCTCCTGGAACCTTCCCCTTTGGACACGAGCATTTTAAGTTGCTACGGTAAAACGCAATATGGTGCGATGGAAACAAAGCTACACAACAATAATACACATAACATCAATAAACTAGATCTAACAGCTAAATTCACGTTGAAAAATTATATTCCGCTAGAAATGTACATAAGTGGAAAATATAGTAAAATGAGTATTTGTTTTTAAACGCGATGAAAATATTAAAAAATTTTGACATTACTAAAGATAGCTAAGGTTGAAATAGTAACTTCATTGTCTCTCTTGAAAGATCATGTTATTTGAAGGAATCATAGAACAGGTTTTCCTTCGAGTTGCAGGGTGTATAATAAAATAAAAGCTTTCCATTTTCATATCTTAAATGACTTTTTCACATACTTTTGGTTTTTATTTTAGTACATAAGTACTTATCTGTAGTAGACAATGGATTATTTTTGTTAGCTCGATCCGTGCGTAGTATAAGCTACGCTTATTAAAGACGCTACCATAATGGCCGTACGTGTCGACAAAAGTAAATGAAAAAATTTAATGTCAAAAATGGTATTAGAAGGGGTATTTTTCATTGTCGCAAATTGTAATTGATTGTCAAATAAATCAGTCTTCTGCATATAGGTCGGATCATGGTACGTATATCAATTACTCATTCTCTTAATGGTGAGGAAGAAGAGTTTTCAATACACGATACTTGCGAGCACTTTCTACGCTTCATTCTTATCGCGTCTTCTCTTTTCAACGAGCGCAAGCTTGTGCGTGAAAATTAATTGTATACCATCCCCTCTCCCCTGGCCCTCTTCAATTTATCAATATATAAATGTTTCACTTGAGTATTTTAAATTCTGTTATCGGCGGCAGGCAAACGCATCGAAGGGTATTTTTGCACAACGTTAAGTTATTGAGCGAAAACGGCAATTACGATAAAACTGGCGTGTACACACGCCGCTATTTCGCGCAATTCGATCAAATCGATGCTCGTCCACGTTCACAATTGCGAGCTCACGACTTTTTCCTTTTCGACGGTAACGGAAAGTTGAAGAGACAAATTCGCGAGCTTCCCCTTCTTTTTCCAAATATTTTGAAAACAAAATACTCCGTCGTGGTCTTTTGTTGCGGGCTCGCATACGTCCAATTATTTCGTTCTGAGTTTTTGAGCGGGTACAGAAGATCGAGCAAAAGTTATACAATGGAACTCCCGGTCAAGCTGCTCTTTCAGAGCTCGCTAACAATGGGGAAACAAAAGGATTGGTTTACAAAAAGAGATGACAGTTGAAATTAGCCTGTACTTACCGGTGAGGAGCTTGGGACAAAAAAGAATCTTCGGCAAGTAATGTCTCTAAATATCAACGAAAGTTCGCGTGTCAGATGAATCGTTCGTTCGTTTTGTAATGAAGTGATCTCGAGCGCGTAACGTGTATGTCGCTCGTCGTTGTCGGCTTCGCACTCTCCGAGTCGGTTCGACTTCGTCGTCGAAGTGCGTCGCGACGAGGTGCGTCCCCGGCACTTCATTCAGCTAATCCCTCCCCTTCTCTGTCGCCTCTCTCTCTCTCTCTCTCTCTCTCTCTCTCTCTCTCTCTCTCTCTCTCTTCTCTCTCTCTCTCTCTCCTCTCTCTCTCTCTCCTCTTCTCTCTCTCTCTCTCTCTCTCTCTCTCTCTCTCTCTCTCTCTCTCTCTCTCTCTCTCTCTCTCTCTCTCTCTCTCTCTCTCTCCTCTCCTCTCTCTCTCTCTCTCTCTCTCTCTCTCTCTCTCTCTCTCCTCTCTCCTCTCTCCTCTCTCTCTCTCTCTCTCTCTCTCTCTCTCTCTCTCTCTCTCTCTCTCTCTCTCTCTCCCTCTCTCTCTCTCTCTCTCTCTCTGTCGCTCTTTGTCGCTATCGTCGTGTAGCCAGCAACCCCACACGGCACGCTCGACTACCATGCCACACAATCGGCTTATCGCCAGAGCGCTCTCTATGCCCGCAACTGCACGCGCTCTTATATGCATATATTTGCACACATGATCATGCGCTAGTCTTTCATTCGTTCCTTTTTTCAGATGAGACTTGAAAAATAGGTCAGCGATGTTTGACGATTAAGCTACCAAAAACTGCCTCGTTTTATTTTTCTTCGCTGACCATCGTCCAAAGCTTTGAGCGCAGTTTTTTCTTGAATGCTCGCGCAAAACTGCCCTGGCATTCACGATGTTATGGTCTCGATGTAAATGCAACACTTGTCTTCGATTTTCTTCTTACTTAACATAATTTTTTTAAATTAGGATGCATCACAACTTGTTTGCGATCTATTGCGTCAAGAAAATTACTTTATGATACTGAATTCTTGAATATGTCGTGCTTGTCAGATGAAATTGTATTGTACGTTGACGTATCGTATTGATAACTGTACAAGTTACTATTACCCACATTCAAAGTTTTTAGGTTAGTTTCAAAGAAGACTAGTTTAGGAAGTAGAATAAAACATTAATGATTTTCAAGTCAAACAAATCGCATTGAGGAATACAATGTGAATACAATTTTTTGTCCGTAAATTGAAAGTAACAAGCATTTTTTAATAACAGTTTATGATTGAGCTGCATTTCATTGTATTCGCATTTTTAAATTTTCCATGTTTACAAAGCGCAAGCGACAAAAATAAACGAATCCATGAAATTTATAAATATTTATTGTCAAGTGAATCTAATCGAGGTCATCGGCATTCATACTTTCCGGTGTTGTACGAAAAAAACTTACCGACGTTTAATTTTAGTTCGTGAATACAACCTCCTTGTTATTAATATAGCAAATTCTCAATCCCACCACATTCTTTACGCTATTTTTCTTCACTTTTCTCATAGCCAACAGTCTAAATTTTGCTCCAGACTAATGCGAATTTTCGGCCTCTAAATGTGCAGCCACTCACGGAAATCGGAAATAAATTATATATAGAATGTACCTCTAATTTATATATTAATACTGATATAGTTACTTATTTCTTTATTTATTTATTCAGTAGCAAATGTCGTTCAAATATTTACATTCAATTGATACATCCCATGAAATACAAAATATGTAGTGATTATGTCTTATGGCTATTACAGGACTTATGGCAATCACAGAGAAATTAATGTAATAGTTAATAGAGTTGGTTCTGAAAAAATTTAATGAAACTCATTTTATATCAGTTATAATTTTTCATTCTGATAGCTTACCACATTTCAATCTCAAAACCAAATTTAATGATTTCATCATTGCATAAATAAGTATTCTATTAATATATTCATTATTTATTTTTATCCACTCCAATGAAAAATATACTAATGGTCGTTTTCACTTATTACCATAATCAATTACTGTTTCGCGCGTTTTTCTTTTTAGTTTTTATGGCATTTATTGCATTCATCAAATTAGTTGCATGCCAATTTCAAGATTCTAATACTATAGGTGCATGAATAAATAATACGATTTAAATAATCATTAAGCATAATCATCGATAATCATTGATAAATACAAAGTCATTTGACATTCATTGTTTGACCAAGATCAACAAATTTGTATTGAAAAATCATCCAAAAACTTTAGTAGAACTGAAATAATGGTCTAGTTGAAATGAAATAATAATAATAATAATAATAATAATAATGAGAAATTAACCAAATTTTGCTCAGTATTAGTAATCAGCTGTGTACCATAGAAGTTAGAATATTTTTGTGAATTTCACAGACAGTAATCTGATCGTAACAATAAAAATATCAGCATAATTCCAAAAAATAACATTTTATTTTGTTGAAACAACTAATTCCGTGCATATTTCAATTCTTAATTAGCCTTAGAAATATTTATACCAGTAAATTTTTCATGAATTCATTTTACTATTGAAATAAAAATTTCCTTTTTACACACACACATACACACACATACAAAGTATACTAGGTTCCAATTTTCATACCCTTTTCAGGCATTCTAAACATTGCGATATTCTAACATAATTGTGATTCTAAACATCGGTGATTGATTATTTTTCAAGATTCACTGAGAGACAATCTAAATGTAACTATTTTATTTATTCCACCATGGCTATAAAACTAATATTCTTAAATATGTTAGTATCTTAAAGGATTCTAATACTAAATGAGGCGTCTAGAGGCAAAAGCTTGTGAGTAGTCGCATGATTTTCATAAGTTAAATGAAATATCTTTTTTAATCGAAGAATACTATCTTTATAGTCATCAATTTAGTAGAAAATAAAATTTTTTAGAATTTGAATTAAGCAAAAGATATTTGAAAACTAGTCGAAAATATAAAACACCAAAGTGGAGCCTTTTCAACTTGATAATACAAAACCATTTATAGTATTAGCATTTTTATTTGACTACCTTTATAAGTTTCCGTAACACAAATTTCGTCTTTATGAACTTCACAAATATTACCGAGAAGCAATATCAAGATTTTAGAAAGATACAGTGCTGAGCGGACTATGAAATAAAGGAAGTAATATTTTAATTCGCTTTTACAATAAGTTAATAATCAGTTTTATTATTTTTCATAATTTTCCTACTCATATATTTTCATTATCTTTTTCTACACAACATATCTAAGGTAGATATTACATAGGTAAAACATGCGGGCCTCTACGAAAAATAAATAAACATATTAGGGAGCATCAATTAGTTCAATAGCCATTAATGCGTTAACTGATACTGGAGGAGGCATATTTAAAAGACAAAAACCGTAATATTAATACGGTATGGATTGGCTACGAAAAAATCTTGTCACAAGTAATTGAAAACTTGATTTTAGGAAAGTGAGACTACATAGTTAATAGAACTGCAGCGAGCACCAATGCCGTATCTTATATTATGGTAATGAAGATGTGACGTATAAGTTATTTTTCAGATTTTTCAATCCATTTTGTATCTTAATAACTTTCTTACAACTTATTATAATTTATAGATTTTTATAACCAGAAAAACTATTTGGGTGATAATAATTTTTTTTAGTTTCCTTTGAATAAGGCTCACTGTCAGAAAATTAATGATGCTTCAAAAAGTTGTTCGAAAGGTAATTGATCCAATTGATACTGGCAGTTGCGATCTCGTTGTAAGGAGAATTAAAAAAAAACTTAGCTAGTAGCATAAACAGAATTAAGTCCGGCGCAACAAGTAGTTCTGCCCAATATATGAGCATCCTAAGATAACGTTTAGTATGATAGAACGTAAAAATGCACAATTGGCTAGTTTGAATTACACTGATATTGAACCATATTAATGAGCAAAACTTAATTAATTAACTTAACTTAGAAATTAATTAATTAACGCGAAACACGAGCGTAAAAATGATGAGCAATTTGAACGGATATATGAGGCGAGCACGAGTTTTTGTTACTCCCGTCGGAGATTACAATGACGGTTGAGTTTCAAGGCTCGCTGCACCCGTTGACCAAAATTACACTGCTGATTTACGCTATTTGTGTTGCGCTAACGTGATGAATGATTTTTTTTATTTAGAAAAACCTGACGTTTATTTAGTTTAATCGCGAAACAAAACAGTCGATCTAAATGATTGATGTAATATTAATGCTTGAGGAAATAACGCCCAGTGGATAAGATCGTTCTAACAACATATTTAAGGAAACCTAACGCTTTGTTTCAGAGCTTTATGTAATTATTGCACAGTAGCTTTATTCTGCGAATGAGAGGGTGGGAGTTTCTTGTGCTTATCTTTCGCATAAAGTCTCCGCATTTCCCAAAGTAGCACATAGCTTAGTAAAAGACAATGCCTACATTAAATCATCACCCACCTAGTTATTTATATATTTATTTGGGAAAAATATAAATGTTACATTTATTTTTTTCAATTCTTTTATTGCGTAAAAATCACTATAAATTTGCGATGCGTTTACAAATCAAACCGTTTTACTCATATAACAATAAAAATCATACAAAGTTAATAAAATATATGCGGATAGCGAAAAAAAAAATCATTTAAACTTAATTAGTACAGTTAAAAGCACTTTCTCGAACGATCAATGCGATCACGTAGGCGTAGGCTAACTGTTTCTCGTTGCAATTTGGCATGTTTTGCTAACTCAACAGTGGGTCTTGCAATTTGTTTTGTAATAATATTTATATCAAAATTATAAATTGTCAAAGAAACTTCAACTGCTGGTATACGATAGTCTACGAGTGATTTTAATTAGCCATTAGTATCTATATTATCAATCTCATTTTGCAACTCTTCAATGCATTTAAATAATATTTTGCCGATCTACAAAAAAATATTATGCGTGGTATAGCATTTTTAAGTGTAGAATATTATCAGAATGAATGTTTGTCTAAAAAGAAAACGCAGGTTACCGTCGCGAGATTCAAAATTCGATCCAATATTTGGTATTCAAAAACGTCTTCTTTCTTATTTACAGATTTGTTTCATTACTTTGTGAGAAGTGACAATGAGTTTAACAAATCTTGATTTTCTTATTTTGTAACATTTATCTGCCGGCGATTGTGTTTTCTTTGCCATAAATTTTTGTGCGTACGTGTATATGAGGGTAGGGCCGTAAGTCCTTAGAAAATCTAAGAGATGTCGCGTAAGTTATCACAACTTATATTGCTATAGCAAGCGTTATTTCTAATAAGAGTGCTGTCAAAGTTTCAGCTAGATCCATCAAGTGGTTACGTTTTTATCGTCAATCAAAGTGAACAATTTTTGCTTATTCTTCAACAATGGAAAAAAGTGAGTTTCAAGCGGTAATAAAACATTTCTATTACAAGGCTTAACATTGAAAAAAATATCAATGCTGAATTAGATACAGTTTATGGCGTATTCATCCCTGTATATGAAACTGCTTATAATTAGGTAAATGAATTTAAATGTGGCTGTACATCAAACAAAGATAACATCGTTCAGGATGTCCTGCCCCCCCTTCCCTCCACGATCGACAAAGTCCACGACATGGTGTTGAGTGATCGGAAAATAAAATTGCGTGAAATAGTTGAAATAATGGGGAGTCAAAAGGTACTATCATTTCGATTTTATATGATAAATTGGATATGAGATAAATTTCGGTAAGATGGGTGGCGCGTTTGCTCACAGTGCCGAATAAACGCAGTCGTGTGATCACCGCTAAGGCCCTCTGGGTGCGCATCCACTGCAATCCGGACTACTTTTTGCGACATATCATAACTGTAGACGAAAGATGGATACAACACTACACTTCCGAGACGAAGGTACAGTCAAAACAGTGAATTGTTAAAGGTGAATGGGCTCCAAATAAGGCAAAGACGGTTAACTCGGCCGACAACTATGACCAAAAACAACTGCCGAAGAGTGCGTCGTTATTGGTTCGGTTAAGTGAGAAAATAAAGAAAAATTGTTCTCATTTGTACAAGAAAAAAATTCTGTTTCATCAAGATAATGTATAAGTACACATTTGCGCAGTTTTAAATACCATATTACAGGAATTGAAGTTTGAATTAGTGGAAATCCACCGTATTTATCAGATTTGGCCCTTAATGACATTTTTTTTATTTCCAAACCTAAAAAAAGGCTTGCTGGACAGCCATTAATGTCAAACAAGGAAATCATTACACAAACAAGTGGCTAACATGAGGAACTCTCAAAGTCATAATTTTCTGATTGTTTTTGAAAAACTAAATTTGGAAAAGTATATCGAACTAAAAGGAAGAGTATGTTGAAAAATCAAAACAAATCTACCCTAAGAAAATAATTATTCTATCTTTTTCTGAGGACCTACCCTCGTATATTTTTTAGTTTTGCCATTCTTTCAATTTTTCAGTTTTTAAGTTTACCAAAATAAAAGCTTTTTAATTTATTTAAAACTGAAAATTTACCTTTATTTCGACTAATGCTGAATTAACCTGTTGATTAAATTATTCTTAAAATTGATTATCAGCAATTTCAAGTATTTTATTCAGGTTTACACTGTACTAAAGAGTATTGTGTTTGATCAAATCAATTTGTAATTCTAGTTGATCTAATATTGTTGAGCAGTATTCATAACTTTGATTAATATTTCATTGAAATTAATATCGATTTTCCTACATATTAAAAATAATTTGGCTTCAATAACTTATAATCATATGTAGTACCAAAAATTAAAATAACACATTAATACAATCAGGATTGCTATAAACCCGAGAAATCACGGAATTATGATGGAAATTTGCTAATCGTGAAAATCGCGAAATTCGATGAATATTACAATCTTACGATTGGTAAATGGTTGACACTCAAAAACTAATTTCCTGTCTTTCGTTTTTACATTTTCTCGAGTTCCCTTTTCCTTTCCTACGATGTATGCCGTAGAAAGTGTACATGCTCGAAGTGTTTTTGGAAGGCTGAATTTTCCATCTCCGTCTAGTATTTTAAAATATTATGATTTGATATCAACCTGTATATACGTATAGCCCAAGAATCTCTGCCGCATTTTATTAACAGCAATTAGTCGCTGAGTTTAATCTCCCTCGCTCCTTTTATACTGGCAGCTCAGAAGTACAAGTGCAATTACCGTGCAATAAAGTATAAAATTACCACAAACATCATCGAAATTTGTTCTATAATTTACAAAGTGATTCAGAATATCATAGAAATTTTTGAATTTAACGTAATTATTGCAACCGTAAGCAATTTTACTTATTTTAAAGAGGTACAGTGAGAGCACAAATGATTCCGTTTTCCATCTCATGATGAATGCAGGATTAATAGTGCTGAAAATTTAACAGACCACATCATTTAAATAGTCAACTTAGTGAACTTAACTTTATATGTTACTTTAATGTTTACATAGTATACTAATAAATTAGCAAGGTGTTTTTTCTTCGCACATTTCTTATTGCTTATTATATACTAGATATTATTTCTGTTATCTTACTTTTTTGATTAAAAACATTTGTGAGATAATTAGAATATGAATATGGAATTGTAATTTTTTGCAAGCGATAAGCACGGGTTTTTAGAACAATTCATTACAAAAAAAGTTGTATTTAAAAGTGAATGTCTGCGTAGGTTGATGTTTATTATTTCAATAAGAAAATTCTCTTTTGGAATACGCATTAATTTTGAGAGCCGTTAAGAGCGAAACGTTGTATTTTATGTTTAAAATACGTACCATTATTAATAAAATTGCAGTATAAACGGACTTCCTAATTTATATTCATTTTCAAATGTTTTTATTTTACTTCGGTATTATGCGAACAGTTTTATATTTCAGCAGTCGAATTTACTAAAAATATACATTATTAGAAACATGCATTGCAATATGGAATACTTAAAATGTACAAATATGATTCGATTATATAATATTAGTTTCAGAAGTTATTTTACAGATTCTTGATTTTTGAGATAAAAAAAGAATAAAATATTCAATAATGATATTGATTGTTCTAAAAAAGTTGTAATTTATGTTAAATAGTTTTGTTTAAAATAATATTTCAGTTCTGTTACAAAGCAAGGTTGCTTTAAACCTGGAAAGTCAGAGAATTGCCAAAGAAATTTGTCTACACTGGACAAAGTCAAGGAATGTTATAGAAATTTCGTAAATTTCAGGGAAAATCAACCTTGATATTCTATCTAATTATTTTTTCGTAATTACAAGCTTCTATCTCAAACATTTACCAACTTTGGAGCAATACTGGTGTCTGCCTAGATGTTACACGCTCCTTTTATACACTTGGAGAAAATAATCAACAAAAACATCGGGCGCCGTATTGTTATAATAGTCTAAATATTCTGTCACCGCCCAATGTTAAGGGTGTTGCCTAGTCGGCGGGGTCAAAAAATTGCTATTTTTTGGAATTTTTTTTTGAGTAGATTATGAAAGATATGGATATAAAAATACATAGGTATAATAAATTAGATCTTAAATTACAAAAAAAAAATTTTTTTTTATTCATTTTTTTCAAGTTTATTGTACGAAATACGTAGTTGAATATTGAGCGGTAATTTCAAGACAGCTTAGTCGCAACATGATTTCTCAGCAACGGCTTGTCTGAAACAAAAAAATCAAAGTGTTTTAGATTTGGTATGATAATAGCTACAGAATGGACCATAATTATTAAGTTTGGGCTAATTTTGTGGATTTTACTTAATAAAATGTGAAAAGTTGAAAAAAACGGCTTTTTTTTGGCATTTTTTGGAAAAAAAAATAGTAAAAATCAAAATTATAACTTGTAAGTGGTCCACTTTGTGGATAATTATATATAGAATATGTGGTCTAAATTTCAAAAGGATCGGTCCACTGGTTCCGGAGAAATCGTGTTGCAGGTCCGAAAAAACGTTGTTTTGAGAAAAACGCGTTTTTAAAGTTTTTTTAAACAAAAAATATAAAAAATATCTTCCAAAATTTAATCTGCAATGCCTGCACCGTATGAAGTACCTTCTGATTAATCGAAACCTTGATTTTCTTCCAATCTAGCCTTTTTTCTCGCTGTTCTAGACTCTTTGGAAGTATTCAAGCTGTGGCGATTTGCTTCTTGAACACGCGTGGAATCGTGATCAGCGATGTAATTCACAGAGCTTCAAAAAAATACACTTATACTGCTCCGGTCTTTATAAAAATTTAACACAATATTCTTACATACATATACATTCGAAAAATGTAAAAAAAATCGATTTTTTCAAAGTGCCCGACTAGACAACACCCTTAAAAATATAAAAATTAGTACCTGAAAACGAAAAATATTGTTACATTGGAAATGGAAAAATAATATGACATCAAAAATTTGTTAACTCGATCGTACCATAACAACCTTACAGAAAAAAAATTATTAACTAAAAAAGTTGGAAGTAATAAAAAGACCTAACGATTGATATTTTTATATATAAAATTTGTTTGTTAATTTTCACGATATATTTAAAAAACTAGATATATTTGGGAAAAAAGGTAAATTTGAGAAAGCGTTATGCTTAATAAACTAGAAAAACTAAGCTTTGGACTACAGGTTGTTACGTAACAATCTAAAAATGCGTATAACTGGCGAAAGGAAAGAGCAAGAATTTTAATTTCAACTGATTTTCAATGTACAAACAATACAAAAACTTCCTGCGTTATCAGACTTTGGATCCATTTTAATCAAACTTTTTTAGCTTACTGCGAATATTGATATAATTTTATATTTATTAAAATTTATTAAAACCTTATTTTTTTACTTTTTATTATTAATTATAAATAGTTATGGACATTGTTTCAACTTCATGGGATGTCAGGGACATTTTTTAGAATACAAACGTGGCAACACTATCAGAAATATATTTTAGTTTTTTAACAAATAATATTCAGATGTATTAACGAATCAATTATTAATAAAATATCTATTTCTATATTTCAGGTCGATATGTTGGTTCCAGACCCATCAAATTACGTAAAAGTAATTGGAAACAACGAAATTTGGAGAGTGTTCGGAAAAAAGAAAAGGAAAAACAAAATCTAATCGGGCTTTTGACTGGAAGATAAAAGAATTGAAAGTTTGATCCATGTGCGATAATATGAATTTTAATCAAATTGGAGTAAATCTACATAATTGTGTGACTCGCATTTCAATCAAACGTGATTTAATATATTTTATAAATATAAGGTTCGATTTTTAAAATGATGCTATATCACAATGAGAAATTAATTAGATTTCGTTTTCATAATCACGGTGAATTGATACAGGCACATCAAGGCGAATTAATAGTGTTAGTAGCAAAATGATCAGCGTTAATTGCTATGACTTCCTTAAATTTAAGAGTGAGTTTAATTTCTAACAATTGCGTATAAATAAACATCAGATGGAAATGACTTTGTCTAGGGTTTCTGTTACAGAAAAAGGTCAAGAAATGAGCGTGTCGTGCATATATGATGTTTATTGGATGAATGTCAATGATCATACCCTAAATAAATGTAAGTATAGACATGTATTGTGATGTGAACTTCCAGAATGTATATTTAGGATATATTTTGATTTTATATAGGATTATAATTACGTATGAAATTGTTGAGAATTTTCAATAAAAAACTTTTATAAATATGATTTTACTAAATATTCGAATTATTTTCTAATCCTTACATGTAGATGATGTTGTGGGGAGGGGGTTATCTTACAAAAGGCTTCGACTAAACAATAGACACTTCATTTGTACAGTCTGAAAAAGTAACCCTGAAAGACATCTGTACACAAATACACAGATATTCGTATATTGCAGGATTTTTGTAGGATCTTGTACGGTCAGTAAAATTCAATAAGGCATCAGCTTTTAAAGAATTTTATTGAAATTCTTTACTATCAAATACTGGCAGTGTAAGTTCTGCATTTAAGGCGCGTCAAGGAAATTTATTATTGGACTTTCAAAATGCATCGCAGTAAGCTCATTCAAATGTAAGCAGTTGAAAAAACCATCGAAAGATATTGCAAATTTGAATCGTAAACGCGGTGTAATTTACGATGAAAAAAAATATGAATATAAAAACGTAACAATAATCACATTACATACATTTCAGCTGAGATAATAGTGTTTGCCCAACTTGATCAGAAACATGAGCGAAGAAGAATCATACGAGGAAATTGAATCAGGCAGAAGCGTCATTGAAAATCCTTTGGGAGTAAGTTTCATCGATAAATTAGTAGAGTTTAGCATATAAGTTAAACATCAGATTGATATTTTGATTGAGGTTAATTTGACTGGTCAGACTTTCTTCGAATAATTTTCACATATAACTACTGAAATTTTGAAAAACGAATGAGTTTTTGAATGATATTTACAATTAATATGAAAATAGTGAACAATGGCGCTCCTTTTACGTATTATAAATTAACAATGCATTCCATAATTTGGTAAAGACGCACGTTAAGTGTGTCGTGCCTATAGGTAGCAAACAAAAAATATGGAAGTATTATGAAGAAAGTAAAATCTACGACTGATTTGCAAATAGCTATACGAGGGTGAACGAAACTTGGCTGGCGATCGTCATGGAAATGGTAAAGCATTGCTACCCAACGGCGACATGTACTCGGGTCATTATTGCCAAGGATTACGTCAAGGCCACGGCACCTACGTATTCGCAAAGTCAGGCGCTAGATACGAAGGCGAATGGCGCCGCAACTCCAAACACGGGTGCGGAAGCTTCATTTATCCCGATGGCACTCGATACGAAGGTGATTGAAGGTCGATGTACATATATCTATACCTTCTCCCCACTGCTCGTGATCGCCTCGCGTCCATCTACGTTTTTTCTTCCGGTCATTCGTCTCTGCGATAGTTCCGCAAATCCTTAATAAAGCTTCAAGCTTTTCGCTTTATTATAAAAATTGTAACTGGCAGATTACAGACAGAGAGAAGTCAAACGATTTTTCGCTATGATTAACGTCACTTCAAGCAAATTTTTGTGGCTAATTGTTATTAATAGAAACAACAATGTAAGGCTATGAGATGTCGGTTGATTTTGAAACAAAAAAAGAAGCCAAGTAAGCTGACAAACAAAAAATGTGAAATATCTAACGTAAAGAGGCAAGCCACCGGATCAATATCCCCGACCGCGCCTTACAAATGAACAGGAAACAGAATCACGTTTGCAATGTCATAAGTAAAGATACAGCTGTTTGGTGCAGGCGAATGGAAGCGCGACATGAGGCATGGCATCGGTGCTTATTATTATCGCAACGGCGACGTTTACAAGGGTAGTTGGAAACGTGGCTACCGTCACGGATTGGGTACTTACACTTATGCAGCGACAGGCTCGAAATTCTACGGCAACTGGATCGTCGATCGCATGCACGGCGCTGGCCAACTTATTCATTCGAAGCATCGCTTTCATGGATTTTGGGACACGAATTTGGTTTGTACTGTCTTATACCTTGCTTTCTTTTTATTAATTAAGGAACCTAATAACTGATTTTTCGACCAATCATTCGAAAACACACATGCTTCGAATAAAATTACTGTAGACAATCGATTCTTTGATGAGTTGCTGGTTATAGAGCGTTAAATGAGCGTTAATAGTGAGTAAATGTGGAATTAAAAAGAAATTGTTATTACATAGCCAGTTGGGCGTGGTTGTTACATTTTTGAAGACGGGAGTATGCAGCACGGCTATTACGCGTTGATTAGCGTGGATCCGGTCCGTGAGGAAACGACAGCTTCGCGGGTAAGTCTTCATTCGGATTATCCCAATCAGTTGTTCGTTTCAGTTTCGTTGTGTCACGATACAAGACTAAAGGATTCTAAATTCACGAGCGCGCAGACAGACAAAGCTAATAAGACAAAGCTGTAACGCCAATTAGCTTCCGTATCCATACCGACATTTCGCGCAGGAGGCGAGCGTCGGGGAAGATACTTGCGCGGAAGAGGCTGCCGAGAAGATAATGACCGAGAAGAAGGAGATGAAACCAGTTCCATTGAGGACAGGTATAATCCCGGTATGGCGGGCTAGGTGTGTCACTGCCTACTTTCCGGAACTGCTACCGCCCGAACCCAAGCCGTTGCCTGAGACGGTAAACTCTTCATTAATTTGTCGTTTTTCTCTTTTTACTTATAATGGGATGCCAATTATTCTATGCACTTTTCATCCAGTTCCATCCAAAATTGAATGTTCATAGTTTACTCGTATGAGCGCTCGTGATTGGTTTGATAGGCAAACCGACCAATTAATCTATATGATGTTGCTCAAATATCTTTGTCCGATAATATGAATCTTAAATTAATTGTTGTTTTTGATAGACAGCTTATCTCCGGCAAACAAAAAATGGAATAAAAGAATGTCTTATGTAGAAACAATAATCGTCTTCGCCGGACAGATTTGTATTCAACCGAATTTCCAAAATATTTGATTACTTGACGAGTATCTCAATGGAGATAAATCGTGGCTATATACGACACTCGTCGCTGTGGTTTCCGTTGCACATCGGGGAAATCCGTTTATGCCGCGTGAAAGAGAGATGAGGAACAAGTAAATGAATTATCATCCAGAAATAGACACTTCCGCTGCGACCTATTCTACTTCCGGATCATACCTATCGGGTGACATTTTTAACGTCATTCGGAAGGATATTTGATAGAATCATTACTTTCGTGGATTTTGCCGTCGTTGCGCGCGAATTATAAAAAGGCGTGCGCAGAAAGAAGTCTCATTGAGCATTCAGCGGCTGACGGATATTACCACGAGTCTGCACAGGATATAAAGCTCGTTTCCATTATTTTTTATGTAACTAATACTATTTTTATTCTGAGCTCCTTATTATTTATTTATGATTCATACAGGATCAGTTGTAATAAATACTCAACTGTTTAATCAACGTGTATTCAAATGTAAAACATCCATGTTAATAATTAATTAGTTAATTCGTGAATGTTTTGTAAATAACGTTTCTTTGACCTATTTACTACTATTGTCTTTCATTGAAGCTTAATAATTTGTGGATTGTTGTGCAAATATGTTTTTTTTTTTCAGAAAATTACGAGGACGGTTTCAAACGCTGCATTATTAATATTTGAATTTCACAGTTTTGAGATAATTCCATTCAAAATAATTATGTGACATCTTTTAAATTACTATGGCGCGGACTTTAGTTCTATAAAGTTACTTTTAATAAAGTTTCAACACTTTAATCTCAAAAGCATAATTCTCTTGCTTGTTGTTGTGTATCAAATAAAATAATCGAATCTTAGTTGCACAAAGTGCGCGATGATAAATATTTTATAAGAACTTATTAACTAAAAGCAATACACATATATATTTTACTTTGATCAACTGATTTTCGTTTTTATTTTATTGTTATTGCACAAGAAATCTCGGGTTTTTTCGTGAATGTCCAAGCACGCCTGTTAAAAATACGCATTATTCTATTAGGATTCTTTGGAGTCGTTGAGCGACGTCTGCGAGGACGACGAGCCATGCAAAATAAAATATCTGAAGAGAGAAGTTCTCGAGTCGTACGAGGGCGAGACGGAGGATGAAAATGACAAGTATGATTACGAACTATAGGTGCTCACGTAGCTGCCGGGTACTTTTCCAGTCCAACGACCAAGCTGCATTTTGGGTCTGTATAGAGAAACTTTGACCAGCCCGCTCATCTATGCCTTTTTTTTACGATGATAGCAGGTTCATGCGGAAACCTTTTCATCTCTCAACTCATTCATGAAATACATAAATTACTGTATCGAAATTTGCTTTCACTTTATTAATATATGTGTGAATCAATTTTTAATCAACAATATCTATTAAAATTTTTATTTGCAGCATAGAGAGTGTAAACATACAGCCACGGATATTTTTTTGCAAAAGCCATATTTCTGTGCTTTGACAGTAATTAAAAATAATTACAAATACTTACCTTGTGAAAATGTAATAGCAATCCTGTGTAGATTCGAATATTTACCAAACGTTTTTATCTACTTTCTAAAAAAATATAACCCCACTGCAAAAATGTTTTTGCGTTAAGGAAAAAAACAATAAATTATTGAAATGTTTTATGACGATTATTTAGAATGACGTGACTTACTGTATCATAATTTTTTTTAATTCCAGCTGCGTAGGTTTAAAAAATGAAAAAATCAACATGGAATTTTAATTATTTATGCAATTTAACATTTTAATACACTTTTTATTGTATTATATGTAAAATGTAAAATATTGTTGTCCTTTATTTTAAAATTCGTTGCCAACAAATAAAAAGAAACAATTACTTTCACTTGTTAATGTTTTCAAATAAATAATTTGTAAATTGCAAATACAAAATAAAATTTTTATAAGTATGAAATAATGAACAATCATACGAATATCCATAGTAAAATTATATATTATATTTTGTGACTGGAAAAACATTATCGTGGACTTACCTCAAGAGTTTTCCTAAACTATTGATAATAATAGGTACTTGAGAAAGTATTGATAAATAAATAATTAAATTTATTTTTTAAGAATTTATTTTTTTTTATTGTTTATATATTATTGAACTTCAGTATAAATATTTAAGCCATTATGATGACTAGATTAACAGTTATAACAAATTTAATTATTTTTGTGAAATAAAATAAAATATTTATCTCTATCTATATATCAACTTTTTTTATTAAATAATCGAAAAACTATGAATTATCAAAATATTAATGCAAAAATACCTTTTCAATAACATTCAATAAGTTATTAACTTTCTTTATAAAAATATAGCAATATTCCTAAAAATATATTTTCTATTTTCATAATTCTTTTCCTGTTCGATTACTTGGACTTTTATTTCTATAAGAATCAACATTTAAGTTAACGAAGCTGTCATTATATAATAAACAGTGAGGGATGATAGCGCGAGCATCCTGCGGCTAACTTATGAGATGGCCACCTGCTCACCTCTCGTCCTCGGCGATGCAAATGCCACTTTGATTAGATTGTTAATTCTCATGTGCAACGAACTTACCAATACTTTCCCACTCTTGGTACGTAATCTACTATTAAATAAAGTAGAAATACCTTTTTTATTGTTAGTTGTTTGTAATGAAAGTTAATAACTTTTGAAATATTGTTGTAAAGGTGATTTTGCAGTAATACTTTGATAGTTTATGATTTATGATCTAAAACAATTGATATTAATAGCTTTAATGGTTACGGAGACGCACGGTTTTGAAAAATTTCCATTAAAATTTCGTAATTGTGTACAACTGTTGAGCTACTCGTCATATATATGTAATACAAAAATGTTTTTCGCATCATTAATAAAAGAGAATTTTATAAAAATAATTAAATATTTTGTCTGTTTTATAGTACTTCGTTGGTATTAATGACAAAACCGATGTATCGCCCAATTTCGTTACCTCAAATCGAGTAAACGAAAAGCTAAAATCCCTCAATTATATTACTCAAAGTTAAAAGAAAATAACAATAATAGAAGTTATCTTTTGTATAGGATAACTAAAACTTGTGACTTGAGCTTTATCTAAGCTGTAGGGTAAAAATATTTTATTTTGGCTTTATATTCATTTTCAACAAACAGTGCAGCAAGATAAATGCATCATAATGAAAAATTATTAATATTTTCATCAATATTAGTTTACAATATTAGATAAAAAAGTTATTATGTTACAAAAAATTTATGATTTTTGTGCTGCATTCCATAATAACACTATTATTACACATACATTATACATTTTATAATACTTGTCAATCATTTTGGTTAAAATGAAATTCATAAATACAGATTAATTAACAATAACTATTAAATATAGCTAGTGATTTATCATCGCCATTTTCAATTTTTCCAATCCTAAACGAATGTGTATCCAATTCTTAGGTTTACATATTTCATTTAATAGACAGTTTTCAGATACACACAAAATAAGCAATTAAATTTTTTTCTCAGTGCTTTACAAAAAATATACAGATTTTTTCTGTTGCATTTATTAAAACAATTAACAGGTTCAATTTGTTTTAAATATATTGATTCATATAATTCATTTGTAAAATTAATTATACAGTAAATATATTCATGTATCAAAAGTTTGTAATTGGTTAATTACAGTAGTATTAAATTTTTTTTATTCAAAAAATTGATTTTATTTTACAAGATGAATGGAAAAGGTAATATTTTTATTAAATTGATATTCTCAGTGTATTTAAAAAAGACAGTCTATATATAGTAATTAGAAATGTTAATTTATATTCTTATATTATTTTTGTCTTAATTATAATACTCGACACTACTTATTTTCTAATATTCAGTATGTCATAAGAAAAATAAATATTTAACATTGATTCAATTTTTAAAAATCACTGAAAATTCTAAAGCCATGTAAATCTAATACTTGTGGATGCTTGAATTTCGTTTAAAAAATTACTCAGGTACCTGAATCCTGTCAAACCTAGCTTGCTTTTTTTTATACAATATCACGTTGGTCTTAAACCAAATTATGAAAGGAATGTATTGTTAAAACAATAATAACTTTAAAAAATGGTTGCAATCTTAATTCTCAGTACTTTTCATTTATTTCAAGCTGAAAAAAAATATTTCTAAAAAATACTTTTAGGATCACGAAATCAAGCATCCTACTTTGTAAACAATATACAAGCCAATGAAAAACTGTAAAGACCAATTAACATCACAGCTATCACTATGTAGCCTGTAGTAAGCCAAAATGCAAAAAGATAAAGAGTTTTATTACAATATTTACCAAGTCTAGGATCATAATTTGGTTCATACTCTTTATAAACCCATATTGAACCTAGAAACGTTACAATTCATAAATATTTTATAATATTCACATTGTCAGGCTATAGAATTATGTAATAAAACTAATATTACCTAAAATTAACCATCCTAATAGAAAACAATTTATCAAAATCAGCGTAGTAGACTGTCGTACTCGTTCTTCATCACCACAATACCGAACTGCTTTTGTAAACTTTAATGACTCCTTAATTACACCAAAAATTCCACCTACTAACAAGTAGACTGGAATATCTTCTCCTTGAGGACAATCATGGAGATATAATCCACCAATGATTATCATAATTATTGGAAGCACAAAGGAAACCACCAATAAGATTGTGCATCCAACTGAAAAATTATAAATGATAGATTTAAGTTAATATATATACATGGTACATTTTATAATATCCTTTTTATAATAATTACTTGTGCCTAGAAGTAAAACTAATACATTCGGCAAGAAATCAAATAATCCTTTGCTTGACTTATGTGCTTGTCTCATTCGACCAAATAAAGACTCATAAGAAGGTGGTAGAGCTAAAAATTAATAAGAATTTTATAATAAGAAGCTTTAATAAAATATTTAGCTGAAACACTAGATTCAAATACATACCATTAGAATTAATAGCTTCTTCATATGATGGTGGTGCACTTCGGTTAATGAATCGTAGTGGTGGTTCAGGTAAAACATTGATATTGTGATGGAGTGGTAGAGAATTAATTACAGGAATTGTTATAACATGGACTTGTTCTTCTAATGTAAGATTTCCATTATCAATGGTAGTAATTGTATTAGGTGATGTCCCTTGAGTATCAAAGTTTAATGGTATATCTTCTGTCATAGGACTAGCCATCTAATTTATGTTTTACTTTGAGTTCAATTACTTGAAATCATAACAGCTCCTTCAACGTTTTGTCATCTGCTGAAAATCTGTTAATGTGTTTACTTTTGAAATATTATTTTATGAATACATGCATATTTATTGCACTTTGTACAATTATACGAAAGAATTATTCTCCTTTATTGAAATAATTATTATTTAAATATATAGAGTAATCTAAATAATTTGCCTTTTGAAATGATTATGAAGCATTAATTCCTAATAATTCTTTTATACTTTAAGATCAAAACAATTTAAGAATGATTAAGATTTATAAATTGTTAATACCTAAAAGATTGAATGTATTCAAATAAAACTGATAAAAAATAGCAAAAAGATTTTTCAAGGAAAACAAGTAAAACGAGAAAAGTCAACAGCATAAAATCTAATGAAAAGTAGTCAGCTGCTTTTCAAAAATCTATTGAAATGCACCAATAATATATTCTTAAAATTGCCGACTCCTCAAAAATAGAGTTGGTAGCTGTACAGGTCTATACAAATATATAAATATATATAGCAGCCGTCATTTATTTTACCAATTGTAGAACGAGTCTTTATCCAATCGATTGACTTAAATAAGGCATGCGGCTTCCAGAATCAGCCGGGTGTTAACGAAAATTTAAAAAAAATACAGTACAATAACATATCATTAGTAAAGTTAACAAAACTATGTACTGTGTTTGTGTAGTGTGCTTATCACGGATAAAAAATACAAAAGTGTAATTGTAAAATATTTCCATGCGCACGCGTTAATGATCTGCAAACGATTAATTCATACCATTCATTTACAAAATTCATGCGCACTTTTTCTACGTAAATTATTTGATGTTTTGATTCGTAGTTCATCAATTACCAGTTCATTACTTGTGAGTGATTTTGTACACATATGATATAGTAGGAGCGGTGGGGGATAAGAGAGCGGCTGCGTCTGGATTACAGCTGATGAGGACTTTCTCGAAGCTAGTAAGTCGTCTTAATATCTATTATCAGAGATGAATTGACTATGATCTATAACAATTAGTTTAAATCGAAGTGTCGAATTGGCGCATTTAATGATGTATCAAAGATGATTGATACTTTGTTTGAATTTTCAGTAAATATGAGTAAATGATGCCTTACAAGTTATCCCTAATTATTTAAGGTACAGATATATTACAGTTTCACATATTTTATCTATGAAGTTAAAGAGTATATAACCTCAAAAAATCAGATAAGTTATTTATATTTTTATTAATCATTATTTTATTGAAAGCTCGCATACTTTGTTAAAATTTTTATTTTAGCTCCCTAGTATTCTTGGATTTCCACTTCAGTTTTAAAAAAAGGTATTAACATTTTCTTAGTGTAACTGTGATTTTTCTATAAATTATCGATTTTAATGATACAAAAGTATGTACAATAGATGGTATACTATTATTACAGAGAAAAGAAAATCTTATTAGGATAATATTCTTGTGCTTAAATACCAAAAACATCCTGCTAAAAGCTCACATGTTTGCTGTTGGACATGGCAAGGGCATTAATGTCAATAGCGTGAGATGTAAGTTTAATGATCTAGAAATTATTTTTTAGTTTACAGCATAACTGTATTATTTTTGAACCATGTACTTTCAATTATTTGTTGCATCAGAATAATTTTATCAATGAAACAAATAATCAAACTACCATCTTCTAGTTAGAAGAAGCAAAATAACTGGTAAGCTAAATGCTGGATAAAATACTGATGATAAAGCAGATAGGCAAAGGTAGTAAATTATACAATTCAGTGACGATTCTACAGTGGATGTTTCCATGTAATGAGTACTCTTGGCAATAATGATGAAGCATGCTTTTTTAACAGATATTTGCTCAATTATATTTTTCTCTTTTTCCATTGAAGTTGACTGATACAGCTTTTGTTATTATATTATGTATATAATGATCAATTCAGTACTTAATTCTTTAGTTCATCGTACTTTTAATTTAAGTCACAACATAGAAATTGAGTTTTTTTGTTAGGAAACCTAGAGCATACAGAAGGTGCTAATGAGTAACAATTGTAATTTTTTAGTGTAACATTGAGTCTGCAGTGGTATGTAACTACATGGATACATAACATAAACAAGGGAATACTGACCAATGCTAATTTTAAGGAGTAGATTTCAAGGAGGAGGTCTAGGAGCTATTGACGTAAAAATCATGTTATCAACAAAAAAGTTTTTATTTTCCTGTGATATTATACAATTCAACTATTAGTTAGACATATTCAATATGTGATATTAATTTTTTTCTATGGATATGTTATTTAAAATCATTAATTAATTTTTGAAGATAATAAAAAGATATATTATATTCTCGTCGGGCCTGGCATTATTAAGTTAATCAATGAGAAAATGAGATTATAATGAAATAAAAATTTTTTTATAATTATATCTAACAAGCCGTTATTATTAAAAATATAAATTTCTTACAATTAATAATTCAAGTATTTCTTATAATAAATTGTTATTCCTAGCAATAAAACTATCATTTATTTTTTTATAACAATATTATAAATTTTTGAATGTAAATAGAGTTCAAAATACAATAACTTCAACTAACTAATTCAAGTTTATAAAAATAGTACATTACGATATAAGTACCGAAAAGTAGATTCTTGTCTCGTGTGGCGTTTACGCCCGAACAAAACGAACGAACACTCTAAATAAATAATTAAGCTACACGCATCTCTCGGTTCCCAGCACATACTTGCTCCTGGAGGAAGTGATAGGCACCTATTTCTAGCATCGACGGCAAGTTTGTAAGCACCCGGGAGGGACAAGCGTAAACAGTGTTAGGCACAATCTCGCCCTAAAATATGTAAAGATATCTCTCCGGAGCTCTGTCATTTTATAATAAAAATCATCAGTGTTTAACTACTTGACGTTTAGATTCTTCTAAGTACCCATATACGCTTTTAACTCTCGACCATCGCTACCGTAACGTGAAAAATTTATTAATACAAAATAACGTCATCAATAAAATAGACGACATTTTGGTGACAACAAGGGTGGAATCAAAAAACGGTTAGAAAAGAAGACCAGTAGTATAATTAGAGCGTTTAGTCAAGAGGCAGCATAGAGATCGCTCGACTCCGGATTATCACTCAGTTCCCAGGGAAGACGACAGTCCGAACGCACACATGCAGGAGTTTCGCAGTTCCCAGGAAAGCAGCTCAACCTCAGCGTACATCATGCTCACGGATATATATTATTATTATATATTAAGTGCTATCGTTTTTATGACCCGACAAGTAGGTCCAAAGAACTCAAGGTTCGCAATGAAATAAATACATTTTAATAAGTTCAAAAAATAAAGAACTTACTGTGCCGCGTTGTATTTTGTAAACTGGAATCTATGATTGAGATATTACAGAGGAAGTTGGTCCCACTTTGTCTGTCGTATCAGTGAGATTATCTACATTTCAATCATAGAAGCAGTCGTAATTAGTAAGTTTCTACACGTGTACATCCACATCATTACACTCGCGCCTGAAAATACGTTAGACTTATATGCTAGGTCGTGATACTTTTTGTAATTATCGAAGAAATTTTTCTTTGCTATCTTATTTCCTCTTCCAACCACTCCTAACTTAGCTAATCGAAACGCGAAAAATTTAAGTCTTCAAGAAATATTTTAGCAAGATCTGGGATATTTCTCAATAAGACAACCGCGCCGCTTAAGAGTTACTTAACCCTTTCATTACAGTGGGTCTTGCCGCGGAGTACCTCGTCTAGAACGGAGCGCTGTGCCGAAAGTGGGAACATTAAGCGTGCGCAGTCTTATCTTATCATTTGGTTCCATTTTTGGAGCGGGTGACTATAGTCACCTGTCGTGTGCGGGTGTCGTTTCGTGGGGGGTGACTATAGTCACCCGTCGTGTGCGGGTATCGTTTTGTGGCGGGTGACTATAGTCACCCGTAGTAGTGAAAGGGTTAAATAAATTTTGTGATTATTCCAGCAAGGCCTGGGATATTCGCATACAAGTCTCAATTCCATTGGATCATGGTGTTCGATGGGAGACTTGTAGTAAGAAACTTTTATTTTATAACGCAAATCGCGCAGTAGAGGCTCAAATTCTCCAATTGCTCAACCTGGTTTAGACGTACGCACGCAAACCGAAAAGAGTACCTGAGAAAGCGTCTGCCTCAGACGTTCCTGAGAAAGTGACCCGGACGTCACATTGAGAGTGGTAGGTATAACAACCATTTTTTATATAATATAAATATAAAAATATATTTATTTTTAATCATTTAATATTTTCTTTTCAGCTTAATATAATCGTGCTGGATCCGTCGCATAGGCGACATTCAGCATGTAATGAAAATACTTATAGAAGTATTTTTATATATATATATATATATATATATATATATATCATTATATTTAAATAAGTATATATTTTTTTGTTTTTATTAAAAAAAGAAAAAAGAAATGAATAATATTCAAATAATAAACACGATAAATGCCATGATTATTTTCATGGTTAATGTAAGTATTATAATTTAAGATAAATCTAATTATTTAAGATAGAGTTTTTTATAATAAATTTTTTATTTTTTTAGACTCCGCCGATCCTGCTAGCTAGTTTACCGACTAGCATATTTTATTGCTTATTGATTGCGATTTTAAGAGTGGTAAGCATTTTTTATATAATATCAAATATATTTATTTTTAATCATTTTATTTTTTCTTTTTAGCCAAATATAATCGTGACGGAGCCGTCGCATAGGCGACATATTCAACATTTATTAGAAGTAGTTATAAAGGTATGTTTATATATATATATATATATATAATTATATTTAAATATGTATATATTTTTTGTTCTTAGTTACAGTGCGATGTCAAGAGAATCGAAAGGTTAATGTGACAACCACCAACGCAGGAAAGGACTGCAGCCGAAAGAGCTGTGGCTGAAAGAGCTGCGGCCGAAAGAGCTGTAGCCGAGAGGACTGCGAAGTCTGCAACCGAAAAGGCTGCGAGAGCTGTGACCGAAACGGCAACCGTAAAAGCAGCGAAAAAAAGATCCGCAAATACTGTATCATTAGAAGCGTTTACAAATTTTCCACCAAAAAAATTTTTTTAAGGTAAGATTATTTATTATTATTATTATAGATAAATAAATTTTTAATTTATAATTAAATTTAGAAAATGATTATTATTTAGATCAACAATGCTACTGCTGCTATGGGTAGACATCCAATGTGTAGCATTGAAAATGTCCTTCCAAGGGCAAATACCGCTACCACCACCAGCAGCATGATTGTCATCGCCACTGCTACCACACAGAAAGTGGTACCGAAGGTAAAATCAATACAAAACATCACGGACCCGAGCGTATTTTCCTGTTTCATTAGGAAACTCACACGTCCTACCAAACTATATGGATTCATGGAAAGCACATAAAGATGATTTTATTAGATGGAAAGATATTGTAATTATTGCTTTGAATTCTCTTGAAGAATATATGTTGCAGCCTACCTTAAGTAGAGCAATACGACAGAGATGTCAAACTTGCGCTTCTTATTTAAATTCAATTGAAATCAATTTGAATAATTCCATAAAAGTAGACAGAAATGTTAACCCATTACGAGTCATTCCAAACCAAATTTAAAGGGATGGAGTTATTTGGCGTGAGATAAATTCTGCATTTAAAAAACGTATCGTTACTGCATTCATAGCCAATCAAGAACATACAGATATAAAGTCATTCTTAAAAGCAGCAAATAAACTCTTACAATTACAAATACCAAAATATCTTGTAACGTCGGATAATTAATAGTACCATTTCAATTAATTAAAAAAAATTTTTTTTGTATTACGACTTCAATGCATCAAACTGCACAATTTCGAGAAACGAAAATACGTTGGAAAGTTTCTCTTCTCAAGGTTTGTTCAAATTCCAAGAGAAGACAAGCTGACCAAATAGCTTGCGATTAGAAAATAGGTATAAAAAATTTTACGACTTTGTTATGTGCGTCCATATGCTTAGGATGTCTTTGTACTAACAGCATGGGCTGTCGACGCCCAAGCCCTACACGGAATGCAGAAAAAAAGAGAAAACTTCTCTTATGCGTTCCACACCGAGTTTTCATTTTTCCGTTTAGCTTAGTCATAAAAAAAGTCAGAAAATTATTTTATTCTATTAAATAATTTGTGCAGTTAGATAAAATTAAATCGTACGATTTACAATTTAAGCTACGTTTCATTTAAGGTCCATTTTATTTTAGATATTTAAAGATGTAAATAAATAACATTTGAGAATTAAATATAACTCTCAGATTGTTATTTATATATATTTAGTAACGAATAATAGATAATAATTAAATAATAAGTATGTTAAGTCCTTGCACGGTAAGAAAGGGGTACTTTTATACGCGATTTGGCATGAGCAACTCCATCTGTCTTAAAGAAACTATATGTTCTCCTAATGCGAGAAAATTTCCACCAATCAGTTTTGAAGTTTTCATGCCCAAATCCTTCAGAGCCCCTTGCGGCCTTATTTTGAAAGAGAGCGCATCACGAGGGAATGTGCTAAGTAAGGCGCGAACTGTTCGCCACTGCTGCTACACCACCCGCAGCAAGAAGTGCCACGCTCAAAGGATACACTCTCTCTCTAGAAGCCCAAGAATTCTATTTCGAAAATCATCAAAGTTTCTTTTGATCGTTTTAAAGGACTCTACAAAGTAAAAAAATATATAAAAGTAAGTTTTATTTCTAATACTAATTTTTTTTATTTCTTCACCTTTCACAATCCATTTTTCCCAATTCCGTAGCGCTCGGTCCTCTCGTTGGAAAACGAGTTGGATAGAGTTGATACAATAGTTTAATGCTCAGAACTTGGATCATTAGGATCTTTATAGGTCTGAGTGGAATCTATAGTTGATAATTCTCTGTGCCTTCCGAAAAGATTGGCGCTAGAATAATCGATTTAGATTCAGGAATTAGAAAAGCACCCACGCCGTGTGCATCAAATTTTTCTGTATTTTAGCCAACACCAATCTTTCCTTACCCGGGTAAAGTGAGAAATCACAGCCCAAAAAGGATTAGAAATCTTCACCTCACGAAAAGTGAGACGTAACAATAATATTTTTGTATTAGCAAGATTAGAGTACCACACACGCGCAATTAATTTAAATAATTAAAGATGAAAAAGGTATATAGAGG